GCGAGCAAGGCCAAGATGCGCGCGCGTGTTCGCGCGCGCGCCCGTCCGACACGCGCGCGCGCAAATAAGCTCTCCGCGCGCGCAAATAAGCTCTCTAAATCGCAAATAAGCTCACCAAATCCACTTTTGGAGAGCTTATTTGCGCGCGCGCGCGTGTCGGACGGGTGCGTTCGCGCGCGCATCTTGGCCTTGCTCGCGCACCTCGCGCGCGCGCGCCTCTATTTGCTTGCGCGTCTCGCGCGCGCGCCTGTCGTTGCTCGCGCACCTCGCGCGCGCATGTGTTAAATGCTCACGCGCCTGCGCGCGCACGATTTCAACAGGAAATGTTTCATATGTTTTAAAAAATGACAAGTAATAATATTATTTTGAATAACTACTGTTTTTTTTGCTTCTTAAAATCTATGTTTATTATTATTTTTTCTTTAATTATATAATATATACATAATATTTTACTTTTCATTATGTTCTTTATTCCCTGTCATTAGCATTTTTTTAATTCATTTTTGTTATTTTTCCCTTTTCCTTATTTCCGCGGAAATTCCGTAAAGACTCAAGAGCCCAAAATGTGAATTTCAGGATTTTCGACTCTTTTCACAATTATTTTCGAAACAAATCTGACATTCAATGTTTTTGTTGAACAATCCTCATGGGTTTTGTTTTTTTGAGGATGGTTCAAAAAAACACCACACATTTACACAACCAAAGACCAAGAAAAAGTAACATGAACATAGTCAAAGCATATTGTTATACAAAAGCGAAACAGACATATAAAATTCTGATGGCTTTTGTATAAAAATATGGTTGGCTTACAATAAAACTAAGATTTCTCGAATAATGTTGGATTATTTCTCGAATGGCTGCTTTTTCTGCAGCTCACCATGGTCCCAACAGCAACGTGGAGCAAGTCCTGGCTGCTGTTGTCTTCTGCGCACGAGCCATGTAGGCTGCACAAAGGTGAATCTAAAACTGTTGGTTTGCAACTATCGTAAACCAAAAAATTCCGTGTATTTCCCTTAGTTTGATTGAAGTGCGAAAGTTCACAATATTGTTGTGGATGTGCCTTTATATACATTTGATTTGATTCATTCATCTACATGTTTTTGAGTGTTTTTGTTCCTTACGTCCATGAGCTGCAACTCGATACAAACTTCGTGCCCCTCCGGGGATTTTCGCGAACGCAAGGCACCATACAGAGACGTGGTGCGCGAATTCAATCGCAGTTTTCAGCCCGGGTCGTGCCATCAGGTTGGCACGAAACGGACCCAAACGAGACCCAGCGAGCTGCCACGGCAAAAACAGACATGGAACTTGGGTGACAGTCCCCATACCATGTAGCAAACCCCAACGATAACACCCAATTTTTGATGATTCTTAATTGGTCAATTTGGAGGTGGTTTACTTGCTGAGTTGCCAGGTTCAAAACGTCCAGCTACGTTTCAAACCAAGCTATGGGCGATAGTTGAATTGCAGGACCTACTACCTGTTACTACCTTCAAAGATTCCTCCAGCGAATCATTCAGCAATTAAGGGCCAACCAGCGTTTTTTCAAGACCCAGCAGGCATCATCGCTGTGATTCGAGGGCTGGTGAAATCCTGCAGTTGATGTTTTCTTGGTAGCTGAAAACATGGGGTTTTTCAAACCCTATCTTTGGATATCTTTCTCAATGGATTGGTTTAAGGGAAAATCTACAGGAAACCATAGATTTTCCCATTAAATATGGGGTTTTCCTGTAAATTTTCCCTTAAACCAATCCATTGACTTTCGGAACACCTGGATTCTTCAAGGCTCAGTGCACTCCGCCGCCAGATCTCCTTCCCCTTCCCCTTCCACGCCCTGATTCAGCTTGGTCAGGTTGAACGTCTCCTCCTATCCGTCCTTTTTCCTCATCAACGGTGGCCGGCACGTTAGGGGATCCCAACTGTACATCGCTGTGATACAGATTTTGGGGACCCAGAAGTAGATGTAGTACTCCCAAAACTTACCAGAGAATCTGGGAAGGGGCAGCCGCGCAAGCGGTAGTTTGGAACGTTTTGGACATCAAGTTACATTTTCTGAAATCTACAGCTTTTTTTTATCTAAGACTGGAATAGGATCCCCATTTCTCGATTGATTGCTAGGTACATTTTTTCGTGTACAAATGTCAAACTCACAGTGCTGGTGCATGGTATGATTAGTGATGCCAAGAGGGATCACTTGCTGAGGAACCTTTCTCAGGACCCTCAGCAGAAGAGGCCACAGATTTCTTCAGATTTTTTTGGATGATTTGAGCATGAAGATTGGCAGGAAGGACAGAATGACATGGCTTTCCTATGGTGTCCTGGATGAGAAAACTATGTCTCAATCCGGGAAACCCGTGCAGATTGCTGCCTTTGTGTCAGCACGAGTTCGAGGAAAGGATCCTGCTGGGTCGCCTAGATCCCTTGGTTCCAGAACTGGGTACGTGGCCCACAACTGGGGGTTACCCTCAAATGGCCAATTTATAGATGATTTACCTCTAAAAAAATAGTGATTGTCCATAGGATATGTTAAATACGCATGGGGAAACTAAGCCTGGCAGCCTGATTACTACCAGCCCCTGAGGATCGTGAGATTCGCAAAGTGCTGCTGAAAATGAGACCCATGCTCTATCGCCCAAAGCTCAGAATGGCCAGATGGGTGACCTGGCCCTAGCCGCCCTAGCCATAGTGATCGGTGACGAGAGTGTATATTCAGAAATCATCAGAAATCAACATTCAGAAATTCAGAACAAAAAATGTGGGACAATGACTGGGGTGGTCTTCACCACCCAAAATGGGAATGACGCCATGGGACGCTACCATGGTTTCCCTCAACTTTTTCAGAAAAGCTGTAATAACAATTCCCATTTCCCATGAATATCACTATAGCAAGCCACACACGATAGTGAAATGTGTTTTCAAAGATGTGAACTTTCGACTTTCGATGATGTTTCCTCAAGTTTCCTCCCCATATTTTCATAGATGTTCCAACTTTTCTATGGCTGGGGGTTGATTATAAATCACAATATATCATAGTTCTCGCATAGATATCATAACTCTATAGTTGTAGGGACACTGTAACTCACCTTTTCTTTTCTACTAGTACCTATAACTTCTCTGCTTATGTACTATTTCTGTTATTTATATATTTTCAATGAGATTATAGCTATTTCTTTTCAGCAATAGCTGACTGCTATTTTCTATTGTGAGCTTTTAGTATGACAAAATCAAATCATCCAAAAACAAAACAAACAAGTCTATATCATAATTATTATATCACTAGACATACATAATATAATATAATATAGTACTATACAAATTATGATCACTTGAATCACCGTGTTTTTTTTTTCCGGTTCCCAGATGACCGTCCAGTGATTTCCGATCCGCAGGTGATGATACACCTCCCGAGGAGGTTCTGGACCTAGAGCCGGAGCTCTTTGACGACACGGCGCCTCGCAGACGAACGAAGTCAGACGAACGAAGTCAGACGAAGTCATGGGAAAGCCATGGGAAGTCCGTGATGTGTTTGTTTGTTTTTGGGGAACATACGAAATATCATGAAATATCACACACATGAATATAGGAAAGTCGAAGAACACATGTAAATGTTTGCGACATACTAGATAATATATGAGTAGGATACATTATATAAATCCAATTCGGAGTTGAAGATGGATCCATGGATTCTGTATGAAATTGGGTAGATCTTTTTCAACTGAACGAATGTATACCATACAGCAGAGAGGTTGAACATATATCAATGAATTCAATGAATACATACACTGTTTCTCAAAGGCAAATATGTGGACAATGAAGAATTTTGTAGATGCATATACTGTAGATTAATTAAATATATAAAACAAAAGAACGAATAATTACATAAAGTGCATGCCTGAGTAATGATCTATACACAAAAAGACATGCTAATTTCATGGGCCCCCGATTCTTTTTCAATCGAAGTGTGGTGATTGACTCTCCAAGGGCCTCACCCTTCACATCCTGAGGTCTTGAAGAACTATCCGGAAAACAATCGGATATGGATCATCGAGTCCCTTGGTCTTCGGCGTTTTCACAAGCAGAATCCGCATTTTGAAAGGCAAGTTGCCACAGTTGCTTGCAAGTCAAGTTGAAGCCAGTGATGTTGCCTTCGTTGACTTTGTTGAGTTCTGAGTTTATTGTATTATATTATTTTTTTTTCAAACTAAATTATATGATATTATACTATATTATGTTATGTTATATTATGTTATGTTATATTATATTATATTATATTATATATAATATAATATATTATATTATATTATATTGTATTATATATGATATGATACTATGTTATTATATTATATTATATATTATTGTATGTTATGATATCGTATATTATAGATTATATTTTGTATTATACTATATGATATATTATATATTATACATTATATATATTATACATTATATATTATATATTATATATTATACCATATATTATATTATATATTTTGTAGTATATATTATATATTATATATTATACATTATATATATTATACATTATATATTATATATTATATATTATACCATATATTATATGATATATTTTGTAGTATATATTTTATACTATATATTTTATATTTTATATATTATATATTATATATTATACATTATATATTATATATTATAATATACTATATATTATACATTATATATTATATATTATATATTATATTATGTATTGTATATTATACATTATACATTATATATTATATATTATATATTATGTATTGTATATTATATATTATATATTATACATTATACATTATATTATATTATATTATGTTATGTTATGTTATCTTATATCATATTATATCTTATATTATCCTTTCTCTAGGACTGCTTGCAGCAATTACTCTGTCCTCTGGGAAGTCTCTGGAGCCAGCTGAGGTTTTACAGCGACAAATGCCCCTTTTGTAGGACACGTTGCCACGGACGGAAAAACATCCCCTTTGGGCACCGTGGTTTAGCTGGATATCAAAAGACATATTTGGGACCATACAATGGGGATGTTATATAATCTTTGGGCCTCTGGTCTGCACCAGCTACGGCCATGCCTATGGACCAGACTTCGCAGGTTGAGTGCTTTTCTTCTTCCTTTAATTTTTCTGGGGAAGGACCCAGATGAATTTGCAGAGACATGCAAGGGCCGCAGCGGAGATCGCTTCTGTGAGTCAGTGCCAAAAAAAATATCTAATATAACAACAATAAGAATAGTACATATAATGATAATTGTAGTAAAACAATAACATTTTAGGAACGAAGTTAGTAGGCACATCTTTTTGTCCGTGAAATAAAGATACATAAAGATTGCCTTGATGACAAATGGTGATCCTCATGGTAGTTCCAAACTCCACATTTTGGAGGATTTCTGGAGGATTTCCCTTTTTTACTTTTGGTAAACCTACAAAAAACTATGGAAAATCACCATGCTATCAATGGGTAAATCCACTATTTCTATCACCATTTTCAACAGTTATGTTAGTTTAACAGAGGGTATATCCCATTAATATCCCATTTTTCATCACTATAAGATCCCATTTTTGATAACTATAAAATCCCATTAAATCACTATAATATCCCATTAAATCACTATAAAATCCCATTAAATCACCATTTTCCAGTTCGCACACTGTCAGTCATTACCAGAGGTGTCCGGCATGTTCCGGCAGGAGCCTGAAGTCCGAATACCGGCGAGCTGCACGCGAGGCGCGCGCTAGCGCGTACGTTCGCGGCGACAATTTTTTTCGGGGTACCGGTTTTTGTTGCACGTCATTGAAACTCATAGAAACATATGATATATACCTTTGATATATAAGGTATATCTATGATATCTATGATATATATGATATATATGATGTATATATATATATGATATATATATGATATATATATGATATATATATATGATATATGATATATATATGATATATGATATATATATATATCATATATATATATATATTATATATGATATAATTATATATATGATATATAAGGTATATATATATTTATACTATATCATATGATATAATATGTGTATATATATGCCAACATCCCCAGATGTGTTTCTTTTTTCTTTTTCGTACCCATAATGGTTTCCATGTCCATGTCACTGGTTTCAATTCTTGTCCAATACTTTTTCCGCTGTATACTTCCACACATTAACAAGTATGTTTGCCTGAAATTCAGTGTTTTCCTAGAGTTTTGTCTATCATCACTTTATTTCCAGCATCTGAGTTTTGTCTATCATCACATGTTTTCCTAGAGTTCTGTCTATCATCACTTTATTTCCAGCATCTGAGTTTTGCCCATAATTACTTGTTTTCCTAGAGTTTTGTCCATCATCACTTTATTTCCAGCATTTGAGTTTTGTCTATCATCACTTGTTTTCCTAGAGTTTTGTCTATTTGTTTATCATCACTTTAGTTTTTCCTAGAAGTCTAAATACCTAATTTCTCTCCACATCTTTGTGCTCCAGGATGTTTAGCTCCCATGTGTTTGACTTGGGATATGTCGCAACCCCCAGTCATAGGTAGAAAAAATCAGGGACACATATAGGAAATATGGTAGGTAAATATCTGTGAATATCATCGAAGCTTCCCATGCGAAACGTTTCAGAATGTGTCACACTTTTCGGCATCTTTTGGGGGGATGGAAAAAATGTGCCATGGTCAAAAGATGGATTACCCTCTGGTAATTTAACATAGCTATTGAACATGGCCATTTATAGTGAGTTTTCCCATAAAAAATGGTGATTTTCCATAGTTATGTAAGTTTACCAGATGGTAATCACCACCACAGATGTCCCAAATTCCCATTGGTTGGTTGATTACAGTAATAGATTCAGATGGGTTTGAAGGTTTACCCCGAAATAACAACAGGTTTCTATGATGATAGATGGTATACCAGCTCCCGGCCCCTCGATTTTTACCAAAAGGACATTATTGATCACAAGCATGTTGGGGGATGGTCGACATGACATGGGATGACCCCAAACCAATCCGTGGCTAATCCCAAATATAATGAGGGATATTCCATTCATATCCATTAATCTTACCATCTGGTTATTTAACAGTTTGCCATGGAAAATCACCATGCTATTAATAGGTAAACCATCTATAAATGGGCCATCAATTTTCTATGGCTATGTTAAATAACCAGAGGGTAAGTGTTTTTTTGGGACCCATTTACGATTCGTGGGGCCCCAAGGCCCCAAGTAAAAGATCCTGATCGCAGATCGCAGCCAGGTGGACAGGAGAGTCATGCGCTTTGCCGCGGTGCCATGACTTGGAGATGCAGATAGCTGGCTGAGAACAGCTATCTTAAGGTAAGTGACTTCTTATTATAAGTTATAAGTCAGCCAGATAAAATGATACAAGGATGTACAGAATATATATATATATATACACATACAATATCTATATCTATATATATATATATTTATATCTATATAAAAGCATAGATGGCTATTGATGATAAACATATTGAGTATAAGATAGATTACATTGTAGTACTATATACACCAATTTGTATATTTATATACACATCAGATTCGGGCATATTTACAATATTTAGGAAGGACATGATTATTGTTTTGCCCCATACAGTAACTCACCTCAAAACAACGGGCTGACGGCTGAGTTTCCCTCTTGCATGGGAAGCTTAGGAGCTACCAAGAGTTTCCCAACTACATGATAGTTTAATTTGTGGCTTTGGGATTTTTGACATTCTCATTCAACCCTTTTAAAATTGGGATATTTCAATATATTTCTTCGCCTTCTCACTTCCAAAACGGAAAGTCTCGTTGCGAAATGTACTGGAACCCAGGGGTGCTTTTTACTCTATTTTAGCACGCCCATTTCATGGGTCAGGCCCTCCAAAACAGTCAAATGTGCTTTAGGTGCAGAGACATACGCATAGATATATAATCGGATACACATATGTCACATGCACATATATGCATATGCACAGGTTCTGTATGCGTACTTTTTTGTGCATATACATGCAGATAGACGAGCATACTATATACGCGGAAAAATAACTATTAGTTACATTACATTATGTAGAATGGTCAAGAAATGATCCAGTGATGGTCAAATCACCATTGGTCAAATCGCCAATTTCTATCCATCATCAATAGAATAGTGATTATCCATTGTCAATTATCAATATATAGTGATTATTCATGGGATTATTCATGGGTTTATCTATACCAATTCTATTTCATAGAGTGATTATCCATGGGATCCATGATCCATAGCATGGCCAGACCTTTTATCCATGAGAATCCAAAAATCTGAATATCCCATTGGAATCACTTGATCCCAATGACTGAACAATCTCCATGAATGACTGGGATGAAGCGTCAATTTTACCTCACTATGTTCGCACTGGAATGATGGCAAGTGTCGCTATCCAGTCCCAAGTCTTTATCGCCGGTGAATTTCCAGAGGAATGGGATCATTCCATTTTATGATCCATGGGATCATGATACATTACTCCAAAAAAATAATGGAGTATATATATATATATATGATTCCATGAAATATAGGTAAATATAGGTATCCCAGGTATTACTATATATATATATTATGATTCCATCTATTTTCCCATATATTTGTACATCTAAAAGACCTGGGAGAAATCCTTTTTAAAATTGTTAGGTGAACCTGCGAGCCTTCCCGGATCTCGCGGAGAGGTTTGGAGTGCCTTGGTTTCAGAAAAGCTGGAAGCCACTTTTTTTGGGTGTTTCATGGGGTTTAATGGGCATGATATATGTACAGTATATATATATAAATAGGCATAGGTTACCAAATGGGATAAAAAATGGGATTTATAGGATATATATATATATATATTTAATGGGGATATCTATGTGATATGTGCATATATATGTATATATATATATGATTCAATGGGATAAAAAATGGGATTTATAGGATACCCAGACCCGACTTAGTCGATGCTCAAAGGGTCTGTCTGAAAATGGGGTGGCTACCCTCTTTTGTGGCCAATCCCAAGGATTGGGACAATTGTGATAAGCTCTGGTTATGTCAAAATAGCTATTGAAAATGGCCATAGAAATAGTGGATTTACCCATTAATAGCATGGTGATTTTCCATAGTTATGTGAAAGTTTACCAGAGGGTAATCCATAGAAATTGAGGGCACACGATTTTCAGACACACCCATATGAAAAACCCAACGACCACGAATCCTTTAATTGTGTGTTCCAACAAATATGGAGCTTGAACCAGATTTGACGATATCAAACGAGCAAACGTTGATGTTCAATCAACAAAGATCTTTTGACTGCAAAATGGGTGCTCACAAAACAATCATAGGTAGATAGAAACACATTAATTGTGCATAATCTTGCGGCTATTCCCAACCATGAGAAGAATATGTCAAATATTGGGGTTCCAACCAGAAGTCCTCCTTTCACGGTGTCTTTTTCAAGCTCAGCTCGGAGTCAGCTCTGATCCAATATTCTGAAGACGGATTTCATAGTTATAACATGTTATAAACAATCATGGGGATTCAAAAAGGCATCCCCATTTTGGTGACATCTCTTAAAAAACGATGTCAACTTTGCTGCGGATGGGTCCGGGATGCCGGGATGCCTCCAGGTGTCGTCGTACCCTTTGATCATCTCGCTCTATGCAGGGCGCAGCTTGGAGGAAAATCAGGAAGCTGACCATGGGGAAACCATGACGGAATTGGAGGTTTTTTTTTCAGGGAACCTGTCCATAAATCAGAAAAACCTAGAAGAACCATAGAAAAACCGCAGAAGAACCATAGAATCGACTTGAAGCCGACGGGCCGTGACGACCGTTACGAGGTCGAGGGGAAGACATGACTGGCTTGGGAGGCAACTGTTGCGCCCAGTTGGAGCGAGGGTTGCCACCTGGCGATGTTCTGGCAACACTCAATTTTTCCCCGTGTTCTTTGGCCAAAAACAAACCAGTGACGTGGTTCATGACACCAATCAAAATTGATCCAAGCTGTTTATTTTTTGATTATTCTTGCTTTTGATACTCAAAAGAAGTGCCTTTCGTCCGCCACGTTTGTGGTTGCGCCCCAGTGACTTGACTGAGAAAATTCTTTTAAAAGTGGCAAGCTCTACAAATTGAAGACCCCAATTATGAAAGTGCACTTAATCATATAATCTTATATAGGCATGTTACTATTTCCCAAGAACGGTTTATTTTATTCCCATGAAACCTGAAACAGAATGGTCAAGAAACATCTCACAACTCATGGCTTCCAGTGGTTTCGTGAACATTTTGCCATTGAAACACCAGCGTTCTTTTTCCAGCGCCAGGTGCCGAGAGTATCGTTCGCTTTGCCAAGGAGCAACACCGCAAGGCGGGTTCTACTTCAGGGGCGCGGGCCCCTGAAGTAGTCAATGGGTTCATACCCCCAACATACCCCAAGTAATATATAGAATATCCCCATTTATATATGGGATTATATGCGATTATATGACCACTTACCTACCGTAGTAATTAGGATGAACATCCAGCTGCGATTTTTTCATCATACCAAATGGGTGATTTCACTGAGGGTAACGTACGAATATCTATGGGAGTCTCAAAAAAGAAAAAAAACAGGCTTACCCTCTGGTAAACTAACATAACTATGGAAAATCACAATTTTTAATGGGAAAAACCACTATAAATGTGGTATTTTCAATAGCTATGTTAGTCATTACCAGAGGGTACTCACCAGTTTGAAGACATAGGATGATCCTCCAAGAGTTTCCGGAACTTCACCTGGGAGTAACTCACCAGGTTTCACTGGTGAACTTTTTTGGCGCTCGAGACAACGAGACGAGACTGAAGATGTTAGGTATTTGATGGTATTTTCCTAGCATTAACCGGCAAATAACTATGAAAGTGCAATACCTAAAAAACTGCATCAACGGTTATTTTTGGGAGAAGAGTTTGAGATAGCTATGGAACATTCGAATTTTCATAGGTGTTCATAGGACCAAGGGGATGGTCTATTGATCATGGTCATGGTAGATGTTTGATGGTTCCATGTGTCAACACATCATAAAGCATCCATATATAGTATCATTATATGAGCTCATATATCACTAATATTAGGAGGCTAGAGGAGGCTAAATGTAGCAACATGTAGCAACATCTTCTTGCACGTGATTTAAGTGTCAATGGTCGCTGAATGCTATATCCAGAGATCCTGTTTTTTTAGGATCCCCAAATTCCATGGCTTAACCGTTGATACCCCCATAGCTAGGCTTAGGACACCTCCATTCTGAACCATCATCTCACCAAAGAAACATTGAACATATCGACCTATGACACGGTTAACCATGGAAGATACCATGGATTTTCCATGAACCTATGAACATCTCAACGCCCTAAACCAACAACGCCCTTAACGGACTTACGACGCGGAACCGCCTCCGCCGGCAGTTCTTTTCCAAGTCTCCCGACTGGGCCAAAGAAATGCCCAAGTGGCCAACGCAGGCGTGGCTGGTGCATGCTGGTGCATCCCACACATCACGTTTCGATGGGTCAAACACCATGTAGAAAACCCACAGATGAATGGCCAATTACATGAATATTTATGGTCTATGGGTTATCAATACGGGTTATAACCAACATGGTTAATATTCTCCAGTAACATCTGGGAGTTACTTACATGAGTCATTAATATGGGTTATAAACCAGCTACATCCAACAGGATGCACATCCAAGTAATCACCCAAAAAGGGACCAAACCAATCGCAAGTTTCTCGGGGCCAAATGCTCATGGGACCATTTTTGAAGTCACTCGCCGCAATTTTTGGTGACACACATCCGTTATCTGGTTGGTGGTTTGGACCATTTTTTATTTTCCCCAATAGTTGGGATGATGATCCAATCTGACGAACTCATATTTTTCAGGGGGGTAGGTATAGGGTTGAAACCACCAACCAGTTATTCTAAGATTTCTAAGGGCTTATTGAGAGCTGATTAGCGGCTTGTGAACCAGCTATCATTATTATCTTTGGGCCTCCACAAAGGGGTGAACTCCTGACGAGAATGGCGCCCGTGGAATCCCGTGGGAAGCCTCGATGATTTTGGGGTTAAGCTGAGGATTCCTTGAGCTCTCCCGCAGAGTTTCTTGGAGCATCCAGGTTGGGTGCAAACACTGGACCATTTAGCAAAATTTGGGGAATCCAATGATTGCACAATATATATATATATGTATATATATATGGTTGGCTTAGACAACAGGAGGTCCAGATGTCCGAAAAAGGTAGAACAGTTCGGCAACAAGGGGGTCTTCAAAGGTTCAGAGTTCTTGACCAAATTAGTACATTGAGTTTTATCCTCCAAGAATGCTGCAGTGTTTCAAAAAACTGTTCTGCGACCTGGCAAAAACTGTTTCTGGCAAAAAACTGTTCTGCGACCTGTTCTATTTGGTGCTGATGGAGGGGCGGTTTGACCATGAACCGAATCCCACTACGATATTTTTTTCACCTAACAGCAGGCAATCGTCCAGAAGCCTCTTGAGATGTCATATAAAAGTTGAATAATCAGCAGCACTTCAGCCTGTATCCGCGCATCAGTGTGGTTTTTTTTTATGACCTCACCACAACGTCACTGCAAGTGATAGTAGCAACTACCCCAATAAAGTGGCCTAATTTTTCAGGTTGTTGAATGTTTGCTCTGGATCATCCAGATAAATCAACACACACAGGGTCTGAAAGTTGGATACCCTTACCCTCTGGTTATGACATTCACAGTTTGCCATGGAAAATCCACCCATTTTATAGCTAGGGAAACCATCTATTTCGATTAGGGCCATCTAAAAACCATGGCGAACTGTTAGTCATAACCAGATGAATAGGTAAACCATCTATTTCGATTAGGGCCATCGAAAAACCATGGCGAACTGTTAGTCATAACCAGATGGTAAATCTACAATTTGCTCATCATCATCGATCAGCTCAACGAGGTTCGGAGCTTGGAACGGTACAGGCGGTACCTGGCGGGAGCTCTTGGGTAGAAGCACCTGGTGCGGGGGCCCAGGCCCGATGTCGAATAATGTTGGGCCCGCTTTCCTGGATGTGAATCTCGTCCGAAGCGCTTTCTGACCAAGTTCTACACGCTTAAATTACCTGATATGGGGGTGGGTCAAAACCTATTATTATCAATTCTAATGGGATGAACATCCATTTACCAGCTATTTTGATGTTCACCAGGGGTACAGGGTTTTGACACACTGCCATATCTATATAAAATATACACAGAGGGCAGGCCTCAAAGCGAAGGCACACAAATCCAGAGCAAAGCTGTGGCAAAAAGGCAGTGCGGGGGACAGTAACCGGCTGGCAGAAGAAATGTGTACCTTCAAACCTTCAAACCTTGGACCTTGAACCTTCAAACTTTCAACCCAGACACAAAAAGAGCAAATGCAAACGCAGGCAGAAGAGAAAAACATCGCAGCAAACATGACAGAAGTACAACCAATCCCTGTTCTGTTCTTGTTCTTGTTCTTGTGCTTCTTGTTGTTTTTGTTGTTGTTGCTGCCGCAGAGGCCTCCAAAGTTTGCTGCATGTCCACACAGTGTCAAACATTGAAATAACTCGAGGTATGCCAGCCAGCATTGCATGCTATGCGCAAATTACATCACTGAAATACAAAGTTCCAAACGCAGACGTCTATGAGAGCTTGAGAGCCAACGGTTTGTGCAGACCATGATATTCCTGCGGAGTAAAGCAGAAGAAATGCCGCACCTGCCACGCATTGCCACGCAAAAGCATCTGGCGTCTCATCCAGCTCAAAGCGGTCCACCCCACCCAACCAGCCCCTAGAAATGCCGCACCTGCCACACGAAAGCTATTTATTTCATCAGTAGGACATGTCGCACCGTATGACAATTTTGTGTGACAATGTTGCACGTGACAACTCTGCGCGTGTTTGTGACAATGCTGTGTTTGACAATGTTGTGTGTGTGTGCGCGCGCGCGCGTATCCGTGCGTGTCATGCTCTGTTCCAAAGAGCTCTATAGAATTTGCGTGAGCCGATGTCTATTTTAAGCAGGGGGCACAGGCCCATCGTGGATAGTTGTGCCAACGAGCTATTCCACAATGGAGGAAGCGGAGGTTGATCACCTCCATGTACCCCCGCATGCTGCATGTGAAGCATTCGAATCGTTTAGTGGCTCATCCGACTCACATCTTTCACAACTGTCCGGGGCATATTTCAACCATGTGAGAACTACCCTCTGGTAAACAAACATAGCTATTGAAAATGGCCATTTATAGTGGATTTTCCCATTAAAAATGGTGATTTTCCATAGTTATGTTAGTTTACCAGAGGGTACCTGTAAGATTGGCTGATGCCTCAAGCCATGGAAAAATGAGATTCACAGCGGAGCCATGCCGAACGACCAAGTTGTCAGATGTTCAGCAGGAACGACCAAACTTCCTGTCCTCCTTTGCGTGCACTCCTCTTCCTTTATTTTTTTAATGCTTTGTTGCTGTGTATATTATATTATTCAATAATATTCAATAATATTCAATGATATTCAATAATATTCTATTATGTTCTATATAGTTCTATACAATTCTATATATATTACGTATATATATATACATATTTAAATAGCTCCCTATACTTCTAGAATATATATATATATTAGTACCAGGGGCCGCATCGCAAGACCGCCGGTTCGAAGCTTGCATGTGGTGTCTTGGGAGGCTGTAGACGTCCGTAACTGGAGGACACCCACCTCTAGATATATTTAGTTGGTTTTTACCCTCAATATATATATATATATATATTATATATATGTACATATACGACGATTTGCTTATTAAAAGGGGATCCCCAAAACCATGGATTTCAATACTAAAATGGTCTAATTATTATAATTGTTTCTTGATTTGGGGGTACCCCATTTTAGGACCCCCCCATATTTATCCAGGAACTCGTGGCCGTATGGCGGCCGTATGGCGGCCGTATGGCGGCCGTTGTTCCAGGTTTTTGCTTCATACTCTAGCGGCCAGATATCCTGAAGTTCCCAGCAAAGTTGGGGCGCCCAGGACACTTTGCCTCCAACCAGGGCAGATGATTGTAATATGGGGTCACGACTTGTTGGTATATCTAATGGCCATTCCAGGAACCGATCTATTGGAGGTACCTACCATATAAATTCCATATAAGGCCTAGGATTCAGGGCTATGTAAGGGGAGAAAAAACAACATACCCTCTGGTAAACTAACATAGCTATTGAAAATTGCCATTGAAATAGTGGATTTACCCATTAAAAATAGTGGATCTTTCCATAGCTAACTGTTAGTTTACCAGAGGGTAAGTGCCATTAAATCCCATTAAATCCCATTAAACCACCATTTTCCTATGGTTTTCCTATGGTTTTTTCTGTACATGTCGATTTTTTGGGGTCTCCATGTGGAAACTGCTCTGCTCGAACACTCCGAAACTGAAACGGCCCGCCCTGGTAGAGCCGAGGCCGATCGTGTGGCAATACAAAACTTCATGGCAGCTTTGGGGCCGGGATTCTCAGCCACAGATCTATACAAGCTTACGGTAATATATATATATATACATGATATAAATTGATATAATAGATATATAACATATATATATAATAATATATATATATGATATAATATATATATATTATATATTATATATATGATAATATATATATATGATATAATAGATATAAATATCATGTAACAAACTAACCCGTGTCAGTTGATGTTGATAAAATGGCCGATTCGGTGATCTTCTTGACTTAGCTGAAGAAATGTCTTAGACCTGGGTTCGCCTTTTGAAAACGTATTAGGATGTGTTAGGATGAATCAGCAAAACTCCTAGATGCCAATGACTCAAAGGAAATGGAAATTGTGTATAGCATTTCTTTCTTTTGGGTCATGGTGAACATGATTATCCACCAGATGGTTTCATGTTACCCTCTGGTAAATTAACATGGACCCTGGCAGTCATCGGGGTTGGAAGACTAGTTTCCATTAAACATTGGTGATTTCCAGGGTCTATGTTAATTTAATTTACTAGAGGGTAGATATGACATGACCAATTTTGTGGTCACGACTTGGCACCCGACTTGGGCCACTTCGCCCATGGATCACCATGGATCACCCAGGCAGCACTATCCCTGCCCCATTTGCCGAAGACATCTGCGAGCCGGGGCCCGTAGCACATCCTTTCTCCTCTTGAAGCTTCAGTGCGTGCTCAGGATGAAGACTTTACAATACTATACATGTGTTTTTTTTTAATGTTTTTTTTTGCATCATGTGATTTAGATTTATACAGAGTCAACATATGTGATATGTTAAGCGGGGGCTCAAAAATGAGATTCTCTTTTGTGATACAACTGTAGAATTTTGTTGTCATACCATACCATACCATCGCTGTCTGCCGAGGACAAGCTAATGTCGCTGCCAGTTGCGAGTGAAAATCGGCGGGAACTCAGTCTGTGGCTGGGTACTTAGTCCCTTACAGCGATTCCTGTGATGCTACCCTGCGGTAATTTCACATGGAACAAATAAAGGGGGGTTCCTAAAATGGGGGATACTATGGGATAGCCAAAATAGTTGGTTTATTTCATGGATCTATTCTATTCGAATGGATGAGAACTGGGGGTACCATGACCTCTGGAAAGACCCACTGTTGGAAGATCACCATTGGACCATTTCTGGTGGCTAAACCATGGTAAACCCATTGATAGAACCCCCCCCAGTGGTGACCCCCATGGCAATCGCCAGGTTGTGCCAGCTGCACAATTCGGTGACGTGCCCAGAGCGACGGAGAGCTGGGTAGAACATAGGGATTTCATGCGATTTCCCCAGCAAAAAATGGAGATTTCACCACGGAAAAATGGGGATTGAATTTAAAAGCTGTGCTTTTGCGGAACTGATTTTGACCATTTTTTGATCTTGATTAAAAAAATCTAGCGAAATGCGATTGCTTATTCTATATTCTTTATATAATTATCCTATTTCCAGGGTGTTTTGGTGTTTTTTTCTCGGATGGACGACGAAGAAAACATCGGTCGGATGAGGTGAACAAAGATCTTCACAAAGCGCAGCACTCGTGCAACTCTTTTGAACTGGACCTCCAGTGCGCAGCTCAGTCAGCGCCGTTTCTCGCAGATCTTGTTCCGTTTGAAGGATGGAAATAAATGTGTGTATGGAATATGCATATGTACATACAGATACACATGAGCATACAAGTATGTAATTGACAGTATATATATATTGTATTGTATTGTATTGTATTGTATTGTATTCTATTTTATTATAGTATATTATTATATGTTACTAAGTTATATATATATATATACATATTTCCCTATTAGTTTGTATTATATAATGTTGTGCTATGTAATATCGTATTGTATTATACTATATCATAGTGTATTATATTATAGTGTATTATATTATTATTATAATATATTTTATTATGTTATATTATCTTATTTTATATTATTTTGTATTATATGATGTTATGTTATGTTATGTTATATTTTATATTATATTGTTTTTTAAATCATATTATATTCTATCATATTATATTATGTTATATTATATTATCTCTGGAATCCATTCAATCGCAGCCATATATATATATATGTATGTATGTATGTATGTATGTAATGTATGTAATGTATGTAATGTAATGTAATGTAATGTAATGTAATGGTATGTAATGGTATGTAATGGTATGTAATGGTATGTAATGGTATGTAATGGTATGTATGTATGTATGTATGTATGTATGTATGTATGTATGTATGTATGTATGTATGTATGTTGTATGTATGTATGTGGTAGTATGTATGTCTGTATGTAATGTATGTATGTCCTGAATGTATGTAATGATGTACATGTATGTAATGTATGTAATGTAATGTAATGTAATGTAATGTAATGTAATGTAATGTAATGGTATGTAATGGTATGTAATGGTATGTAATGGTATGTAATGGTATGTAATGGTATGTATGTATGTATGTATGTATGTTTTTGGTAACATTACATATCATACGTATGCACATACGTACAGACCAACAGACAGCGATCCTTTCAGCGATTGGTTGCAGAGATCCAATCCTTTCCTCATGCTGCAGGTACCTCAAGACTTGTGGGGACTGTACCCAGCAGGCAGACCATTCTGGCCATGGCAACTTCTGATTTTAGGATGGTTTGGTGTTTAGAAAACCAAGAAATGACCAAGAAAACCTTGTCAGAAGCTATTAGACACCCTGGGAACTTCATTTGAAATTCATTACCCTCTGGTAATTTAACATAACTATGGAAAATCCACTATTTTTTATGGGAAAATCCACTATAAATGGTCATTTTCAATAGCTATGTTAGTCATTACCAGAGGATTTTTGAAGCAACGGACTGGTGCCATAGCTCATCCAAGATGTTGTGATGTTTTCTCCGAGACTTCATCGAAGTCGAAACGTTTGTTGGTCCCTGGATCGAGTTTGAATCTGTGTTGTGATAATGAACTATTAAAAGTACATTAGCACATCCCACATGAACATCGGATGGTGATGGTGATGAGTTGTTCAAAACCAAACTTTTTGGATCCCAATTGACGAACCTAACATCTTCTAACGTTGTAAATCTATGTAAATCTGCTTGGTGGTTTGGAACATGGCTGGTATATGACTTTCCATTCGGTTGGGAATGTCATGATCCCAATTGACGAACTCCATCATTTTTCAGAGGGGTAGGCTCAACCACCAACCAGATTATTATTAATCATCACTAACCGTTAATAATAACCATCATCATTAACCATATACCTACCTTTAACCACCAACCATATATATAATATATATATAGATAGATATAGATACACATAAATTAATGGAGGTTTTCATGGGAAAGTCATTTAAATTTACAGGGGATTTTCCAATTGTGAACTATCTCGGTCCTTCGATTCCTTGGAGCCGTGGATCATGTCATGAGACATAGCCGACATAGCCAGGCATGGGACATCTTCAAGCCATATTTTGGGTGATGTTTTTACCCACCATTTTTGTCATTTTTATCGATATGAATAAGAATAATCATGACTAGTTAGATGAAAGGAAGTTGAGTTCGAAAACTTCCGAGTTACGGATGATGGTCATGGTTACATGGTTAGCATTCACACCATCATGTCAACCACATCATGATGTCAACCTCAGAATCAAGTTCTTGGGAAGTGCAACAGTTCCGGAGCGTGGGAATCTCCACGGGTGTTTTCACACTCTCGGGCGCGAAATCCTTGGTTTCACGGGTATGGTGCCTCCTGGGGTCGCCGAAGTAGTAGGGTCTTTGTTTCCGCGGGTGCCGGCCTCGATGTGCGAAGGTTTTCGACAAAAAGTGCACAGGACTTTGGCGCGAGCTCGATTTGCACTTGAACATGTTAAAAACTGAGGCGGTCTTGGAGCACTTTTGGAAGGTTTGACTCATGGATTCATTGCTTCATTGCTTTATAAGTTCATGGATGCATTGATTCACTGACTCATTGATTCACTGATTCAACTCATTGATCCATTGCTTCATTGGTTCATTACGGTTCATTGATTGGTTTGACAGAATTTGACTCTTGATTCATTGTTTCGTTGCTTTACAGTTTTATCGATTCATTGGTTCATTGATTCTTTAACTCATTGCTTCTTTAATATTCACTGAATCATCGGCTCATTGAATCTGCGGCTCATTGCTTCATTGCTTCATTGACTCATTGATTCATTGGTTCATTGATGCATTGAATCGCTGAACCATCGGTTCATGGATTCAGTGATTGACTGCTTCATTGTTTCACTGAATCATTGACTCATTGGTTCATGGACTCACTTACTCCTTCATTGACCCATTGATTCGTTGATTGGTACTGTAATTCGTTGGCTGCTTGATTTATTGTTTCAAGGATTCGTTGATTTATCGAATCATTGATCCAGTGATTCAGTGTTCATGCATTCATTGATTGAATCATAGATTCATTGGTGTATTGGTTCATTCAATCAGTTGTGCATGGCTTCTTTCATGTCATTTCAGCGGCATCCCAAGCATCATTTGCTCATTCGTTGATGCACCTCATAACTTCAATACTTTATTGCTTCTGCATCTCAGAAACTTTCCTATAGGCCATTGATTTGTTATAGTTGATTTGTTTTGTTTCCGACACTTCCGCCCCGGCGGGCAGGGGATTTTTTTTGGTATGCATAGAACGCACATAATATGTGTGTATATATAGGTATATATATATATATATATAGGTATATATATATATATATATAGGTATATATATATATAGGTATATATATATTTATATATATAGGTATATATATATTTATATATATATTTATATATATATGTATATATATACATATGCACATGTATATAAATATATATAAATATATATAAATATATGTGCATATATGCATATGTATGCATACATGAATAAATATTTTTTCATATGTACACATGCACACAGAGACACACACACACACACACGCACACACATACGACAAAAAATGAGGATGAACATGGATGAACATCCATTTTCCATCATGTATATTTTTTAAATTTCCACACGAAACTTTGAGGCATCACGGTGACATACCCGTGGTCAGGCATCCATAGACGAGGAGACCCCAAGGGATTCGAGGGACAACAGCATGTGGATGGGTCAATGGTCCCATATGTGCCATGGTCAAGGGATGGATTCATGTAGTAAACCCAATGGCATATTCAACTGCCATTTGGGATGGTTTCAATCGCACCCATACAATGGTTATTTTGGGGATTGTTTATGATTGGGTTTGCCACATTATATACTTATATACCCAGTGTTTTTTTTTGGGAATATAGTTCCATTTTCATGTTGGAGATTTAGATTAACCCATTGTACAGAATCCCATTCATGATGGTGGGATGACCATAAACCATATGCATCCATATGCCATATACCATGTTTTGACCCTAGCACATTTACTGTATATAATATGGTTGTAACTTGCAACATTCAATGGATTGGTTGAAGGAAACAATTGGCAGGAAACCATGGTCTTTACCCGAAAACATCTTGGGAAAATAGGGGGGGGTATCCATGGGCTTAAGTTGGGATGTAGCTGGATTAAACCCATCATCAGTATGAATCAGTAGTTATATGCTTCCGGATCTAGATCAAAACCAACGCGTATCCTGGTCGTCACATCAGCTGTTGAAGGATGTTCATGGCCCCCCCACAAAAAACATCCAGCTGGTCTGGTTCCGCGGCCAAAACCCATGGCGAAGTTGGGGGCGCAGATGGGAGTTGTATTTTTGCCATAATTTGCAATAATTCTCCAGCAATTGGAATGGTTCTAAGAAGTTTCCAACACTTGGAATTGTTTCATTTCAACAAAAAGGGGGCTTCCTAAAATGTGGGAGCCCCAAGTCCTCAGGTTTCCTAAGTCATAGAACTGGGGGTAACCCCCATGACTTGTTTTTAGAAACCTCCATTATTAACCATTACGAAGTATCATTAAAAATAATTAACATCATCTATACAACCGTTATTAAGAAGTGGTAATTAGCCAACTTGAGGCAACCTGTTTGCAGCATATTTGGTCAGGAGGAGCCACCTCAGCCCGGACATTGGAATTACTTCCACTACATGGAGACGAATCCGATTCCGGTGCGCAACTGGAGGGGTCGATCCCTAGGTGAGACATAGGCAGGGGCATAGGTTCGTTTTAGCCTACACAAAGCGTAGGCTTGGTGTAGAAAACCCGTTGGCAACAGTTAGAATCTATTCATTTTGCTTTGATTGGTTGTGATATTTGTAGTTTATGGTTCCAAAACCTCATGCCACAATCGAAAACAAAAAGAAACCATGGCCACGTAGGCAAAACCTACACTGTGTAGGCTAGCGCTGCGTAGGCTACCTCATGCAATGGTGTAGGCTCGATGTAGACGGTTGTGTAGGCTATATGCTAGTGGTCATCGAAAGACAAGGATAAAAAACATTACTCAGGTGAGTAAAAGCCGTGGAATTTGCATGGGTCATTTGACGGGTTCTGATGGGATGATAGGTGGAAAACCGCTGGCTCATTTGAATTTCATTCCACTAGTTTTAGGATCCTGTGGCCAGCGTTTGGTCTCGACTTGAAATTCTGTGAAGGCAGGCAGCAGGCGCTTGACTCCAAAGCAAGTTCCTGGCAACTCGAGAAAAGTACTGTGGAATCCTGTGAAAAAACAGAGCATAAAAGACGAAACTGTTCACGATTCTTGCTCCAAACTAGTGCTCCTACAGCGTCCCACAGCTGGATGTTCACATCCACCAGTTTTCCGCACTCTCCAAAGGTTCAAGCCTCGAAATCCGAAGAGCTGCCCTGCGCTCAGTGGTGGAAGGCTTCCATGGACTCACAAGATCCCTCATGTTTAGACCTTACTTTGTGGTGAAAAACGGAATCGGATCCGTGGGGCGTTCACATTATACCTTAGTTAATTAAAGTAAGTAGGGACAATGTCCACTTATACCTTATGACCAGTGTGAACCATCCCATTTATGGGAAGACCGGAGAATTACAACACAAGCGTTACGTCTTCCCGATGCTCCTGTTTCGCGCAGGTCCGCTGCTTTGAGCTTCCGAGGCGATCAACCCTAAACTCTAAAATCCTCCGCTGAAACCCTAAAACTTAAACCATTGCGTATAGCCAAAATGTTTGCAACTTCTGCGAAGAATGTTGATTCTGCACAAGATCCTCAATTGTTTTGTCGGGCAAATGTTGGGTGTCGGGCGTGAAGTTGCTAAACCAGCCACTTTGGGGCAGACTCCAGCGAGGTGGTTGGGACATGGGATAACATGGGGGGATTGGCTCCTAACCTTCTCTTGGGCAGTTCCAAGATGGAAAAGGATGAAGCATTCTGGTTGGTGGTTTCAAAGATGTTTTTTCCATTTCATATGGGATGTCATCTTTCCCATTGACGAACTCCATCATTTTTCAAGATGGGTATTGCACCACCAACCAGACTTGGTATTTTGATGTATTTTGGGTTTTCACATGCTTTCACCGAGTGAAATCACGCCTGCAGACCCTGCGTTTTGAGACTTGGTGGCGATGGCATGGCACCCATCCTTTGGAGGTTTCCATAGTCATGGGGCTACACCAACAGCTCGTTGGTTATGATGGAAAATCTTACGAAAATGGATGATTGAGGGGTACCATCCATTTATGGAAACCTCCATTTCAGTTCCCACTTCTTTGTTTTACAAAATTTGCTTGTAGAACATTTTTATGTAGGATATATGACCATAGTTTACTGCTACTTTTCAAAGCTTCATGTTATTTCATGTTTCATATGTCGAAACAAGGCTTATTCACATCTTCGTAAGTCTTGTGCTTTCCCAGCTCTAGGCTTTTCCCTCAAATTTGCTTGGTCGTATGCCATGTTCTTTACTTCATCAGATGAAGCATAGGACATGTTAGTATGAGTAGCCGTAATACAAGATCTTACAAGTACCACAATGTCAAGATTATAAAACCTTTTGTGGTTTACAGATAATGTTAACATCTAGTATCAGGGATTCAGCAGTCTGCTGTTTGCACCCTCGCTCCCCCAGTTTTCGGAGGGTAAGTCGGGAAAATGTCGTGATTATCCAGCATGAAAGTTGATGAGCACCATTGATTACCAAAGTAGAAAATGGGGCGGCAGTGGCCCCATTCTGGGTATCTTACCTTCAAATGGTTGTTCCTGATTATCTTTCAAATTGGTTGGGTGATGTTTGAGTTGGAAACTTAAGAGCTATAGACTCACCTGCAAGCTGAAACCAGTTCACAACACCGACATTTCAACCAAGAATCTGAAGCATCGAGAGGCTGCAACTCGCACGTGTCATGACTCAAACAACGGAGGGCTGTTTTCGCTGGGCGCAGACTCCTTGCGGGGTCCGGCGTTGCAAGGCGCAGAGCTGACGAGCTGTTGTGTTACGGCGGCAAGTGTGCGGCCTGAGGTGATGCCGTGGCGCCGCTGACAGCTGAGCTGGAAAAAAATGCGGGTGCTAGAAGGGCGAGGTCGGTGGACTTTGATGCAGATTGTTTTGGGTGTCGCGAACTGCAGGCCTGAGCTGGAGAAACGAGTCTAAAGCTTTGCCACGTTGGTCCGCTCATGTGCTTCCTTTTTGTTGCCGCCAATTGCCCAACTGCCTGCAGCGGGCAATTTGATTCCGGCAGCCTGGCGGCACGCAGTTACCACATCAGTGAAGCCGTCATCAACTAATAGGAATGTTCCAGCTGTCAGAGGCTGATTGGCCAACATGGCGTACCAAACTTTCCATGTGCGCAATTTGGCTCGATCGGAGCGCCCAGCCCCTGCTGGGAGTGAATCTCGGTGGCATTGGGAAGCAGCGAAGAAATTTCACACCAGTGACCCGGCAAGGGTGTAGCACTGCCCCTTTTTCAATAATTAATTATATAAATGTCAGACATTGTGTCATACTGTAGAACCTCCAGCAGTTCAGTAAGGCAAAGCAACCACTCGCCCCAGGCACAACGAAGCGGTGCTTGCGCTCACGCGCAGGCACCTGGCGGCCCCAAATTGGGGCGGCTGTTGTGGCGCTGACGCTTGTTACGTGGGGGGTCTAGAACGGAAATGGGTCGAGTTGGGGTGGTTGATCATGGTTTATCCATGCTTATCCCATTGTCCCCACTGTTGATGATTGGTTTTCCAGTGACACTAAAAGTAAGATGTTGTCCCTTTTCCCTTTTCCCTGTTGATGATCACTTACTGTTTATCACATCACCATTTCTGTCATGGTTTTATCCAGTCTTATCATGTTCAACACGATTTTTTTTGTTGATTACATATCATTCTGCAAGCCATGATCCTCCACCGCAAGGGCCAGATCTCATGGGGCACTGCCGGACCTCAACCGCGAGCTGCAGATCTCAGTGGGCACTGCCGGGCCTCAACAGCGAGCTCCAGATCTCAGTGGGCCATGCCGGACCTCAACAGCGAGCGCCAGATTAGGCACTGCCGTACCCCAACTGCGAGAGCCAGATGTCAGTAGGCACTGCGGGACCTTTTTGCGAGCGCAAGATGTCACATAGAATGTCAGCTAGGATGTCAAAAGAGATGTCAAGTAGAATTCCTCATAGAATGTGAGAGAGAATGTCAAATAGAATGCCAGATATATGTGATGTGATGTTTAGATGTGGTCTTTCTGTCATGTTGGTGGATTTGTATGATCATTGACATAATATATGTCAGATTAGTTGAAATGCCATGGTCGGGTTCCATTTTCGTCCGCAGTTTTCATCTCTTGAAGGCGGAGCAAATCGTGCGACGTCATGGTGGTTTTGGTAGTTCCAAACATGGCCAAAACTTGATCCCAAGATGAGACGATCCATGCCATGAAATGCCATGGTATCCATTGCCAATGGATACCTCCTATATCAACTAACAGTTTGCTATTGAAAATGCATCATTTATAGGGAAAAATGATGATTTTTTCCATAGCGATGTTAGTTCACCAAAGGGTGCCACATGTTTCCATTGTTTTCTAGCTGACATTTTCCCATTGTACACATCTGACTTGAACGTAGGATGGGTGGTTTTTATTACCATAGAAAATAATTTAATTATGGTTCCTATGGATTTGACAGATTAGAGTGGACACCCGCGAACATGATCATCAAAATTGTACAATATGATGCTATATGATACATTGATACATGGGTTTGTCAGAAGGTAGGCTATCCCCAAATTCTGTGATAGACGACTGATTTCTCCCATACAATTTGCCATAAATTTTGGTATCCCCCAAACAATTTGGTTCCAAAATGGCCTTCGTATTTTTGAAGGGCTGGCTGCTGGCTCAACCGCCTGCCAGACACACGCAAGTCGTTTTGCATAAGAACCACCATAGTTTGCTACTTGTAGTAAAATTGTTAAAAAAATTGTGGATGGATCAAAAACCGATCAAAACCATTGATCTCACTGATATTTGGGTGGGGTGATCATCCATAGGTCCCATTTGTATCCATTTGTTGTGATCCATACCCATATGTGTCGTCAAAAGTTGGATTATACACCAATGTTGGAGGATGGTCAGACCAACAATAGGGACTCAATGGGACTTAAATAAATATATATATATATATTATAGTATTATATATTTATATCTTATCATATTATATATATTTTTAATGCTACATATAAATATGCATATTATTATTCTATGTATATTCTGATATTATATATACAATATTATCATATTATCTATATTCTCATATTATATATATTATATTACTTTTGAATATTACATATATGTATATCATATTATAAAACATTTTTAATATGTGTAAATGTATATTATTTAAAAACATTATATATTATATTTGTATATATATATATGTATATATATATACATATTTATTTATATATATATTTACATATTTATATATATATATATAAATAATTATTTGTTTATATATATATATAGATGATTTCCATTGCAAGTATCCCCGTGTGACAGATGACCATATCACATTCGTCATGTTTTGACTATGGCACATGTACTAAGCCCCGAAAAGATGCCGAACAGTTTTTCCAGGATAGTTAGATGATGCCTTTCCCCAAAAAATCTGTTTCCAACAAATCTTTCTGGTGTTCCTATATATATTAGTATATATCAAAGTTGCATACAACATATTGTAAACAATAAGTATAGACATGTATAGACTTATATCCGCCACAAACCATAGTTTTCCCGTTTCCAAACCAACTGAGCTATCCGAAATAGGGGCCCTGAGGCATCCGGCTATGCTCTGGTTTTCTGCTTGGCTTGTGCCGGCAGTTGCCTTACAACCATGGTCAGGCGATGATAGCGGAAATTATGGGAAAGTGGTGGCTTCACCCCCGAAAAATCATGATTCTGTTTGACATGCCCGCAATATCATTTTTTTTCATTCTGCAGCTGTTGGGCTACAAAAACCTTCACGTTTTGCTCACTTTTGGCAATGCACAGAATCCCTTGCACCTGCCACACCAAACGACATCTGAACGCCCAAAAGTGGTCCGAGACCGTAAGTTTTTAACACTTTTGACTTCGAAATGTGGTTCGCGCCACAACGGTGTGCACTTTTTTGACATGTCAACTTCCAAAAGTGGTCCGGGCATGGTGTGTTTTTTTACATTTTGACTTGGAAATATGCTTCGCGCCACAACGGCGTGCACTTTTTCGACATCTCAACTTTTAATAGTGGTCTGACGTTGGTGTGTTTTGGACATTTTGACTTCGAGACGTGCTTTGCGCTACAATGGCGTGCGCTTTTCCGACATCGCAACTTCCAAAAGTGGTCCGAAGCTGACGTGTTTTGCACATTATTCGAGAACCACAAATGATTTGAAAAACAAAGTGAATCGCGACTTGTCTATCTTGTGCGCACCTGCATGTTCTTTCTTCTGACTCTTTCTTCTGACTCTTTCTCTTCGTTTTCTCTTCTCTTTCTCGTTCTCTTTCTCTTCTCTTTCTCTTCTCTTTCTCTTTCTCTTCTCTTCTCTTTCTCTTCTCTTTCTCTTCTCTTTCTCTTCTCTTTCTCTTCTCTTTCTCGTCTCTTTCGCTTCTCTTTCTCTTCTCTTTCTCTTCTCTTTCTCTTCTCTTCTCTTTCTCTTCTCTTTCTCTTCTCTTTCTCTTCTCTTTCTCTTCTCTTTCTCTTCTCTTTCTCTTCTTTCTTCTTCTTCTCCTTCTCCTTCTGCTTCTCCTTCTCCTTCTCCTTCTCTTCTCTTCTCTTCTCTGACTCTTCTCTGGCTCTTCCCACCTCTGCTTTTTCATCTGTCCATATTGTCGGAAGTTTGACTTCTAGACTTCCTTCGGCTATAGTTATATCATGTCATTGTTATGTCAATTCAAGTCAGCTACAGGTGACCGCTTTGCTGGTTGCAACTTTGAGATTCTGATGATGGATGCTGGGACGTTTCGATTCAGCTCCATGGGGAGCTGGGAACTCCGGCCTAGCGATGGCCAATAGGAACATCGCAATATATGGGAAACTTTTCTATTGAGTAATAGTTTCAATAGTTATGGAAAATCTGTGGAAAAAATCCATAACTATTTCTCCAATATTTTCAATAGTTGTGGATCTTCACCTTTATTCATTAGTAAACCATGATGTTCATTGATTCTCTTGATTGCTAGAGGATACTGTATCTCTTACCCTCTGGTAAACATACAAAAAACGATTGAACATAACCATAGAAATAGTGAATTTACCCATTAAAAATGGTGGATTTTTCCATAGTTTTCTGTATGTTTACCAGAGGGTAATTTGTCCAATCCCACAATCTGAAGATGTTGGCGCATGGTGGGACTTGAATCCCACTTGAGTCGAGAGATTTGGAACCATGAATTGTTGGTACAGGGAGTATTGTCTATAAGTATAAGAACATATTAGTATTAGAGTATCAGATTGATCTACTATAGAAATTAATATTATTTAGTTACAATCTGATAAAGATAGCTGTAGAAAATCAATGAATATCGGAATAAAATCACCGTTTTTTTAATCGCGAAATCGTCTGCAAATGGGCCATCCGTAGTAGTCCCAGGGTTTGCCCTGATCGCTGAGGAAAAACGACCCACGCAATGATCAACAAGGTGCTTGGGGTAGCAGTTGTTTGTCAACTGAATTTGGATGACTCATGATGGTTCATGATGGTTCATGAGTCAAACGTGATTGACCGACCTTCTTTGTGGGTCGTTTTGACTCATAATGATACATATGTTACCCATTGTTACCCCAATCCGGTGGTCATGGTCAGTTGTGAACCTTGCTGTGAAATGAGTTTCGTAGCAAAAATCTTGCCCCAACAGCGACAGTCTGCAACCTCTGGCCGTGTTTTTCCGATGCGCACAGGCCTATGCTGACAAGTGGGGCTATCGCTTCACACTGGCGAAACCGGAAGCGATGCTTTCCAGCCACTTGGCACAGTGTGAGAGATTGTGCAGGTACTTGATGCTGGAGAAGTTTTTTTTTTGCCCTTGAACTTGCCTTCCTTTCTGTTGAGAGTTGTCTATTGATCCCCACATATTGAATGATATTGATACCATTTCTATTTGACTACACTTTTTTCATTGATGTATGGGATGTACAAACTGCATGACCGACCTGCCATTGTTCATATTTGTTTATTGTAATATGTATACCATACCCTACTGATACACTCTCATCGGAAAGGTGGAACAGAACAAGGAGGGTGAACTTACCACGTCATCGCTTCAGTCTTGGTGAATTGTATATAGCACCCTCGCCATGACTGCAAAGCGTCAATGGTTAATAAGATGTTGATAGGGGGAATTCCACCACAATAGTCCCAAATCAACAAAAAACTGCTCAATTATGAACAGATTCAGATTCAGTATTTGCACCCATGTGTTGGTTATACCTCCACTATCTCCCACTATATGATACTATATATATATATGTATATCCCCATTATACTCCCGTAAATCACATGAATGTCAACCTCTGATTAAGAAAGAGTAGTCCCAAAAATTGGCGGGGTCGATTTTTCGTGACCATCTATGATGCTCTGCTACTAGAATCGAAGTCTCCCCCAGTGATCGCCAGCCACGTGGCCGAGAGTTGGTACCGGGTGCCATGGCTACAGGAACGCTTGCGGTCCAAAAACGCCGCCTGCGGCTGGATGCTTTACATGGAAACTTGGTAACTGAGAGGATCTCTGCAATGTCTTTGGAGAGCAGTCACGACATACAATTGTGATATCTATTGATATCTATATATTAGTTCTTTATTTTATCTCGGAGATTTTAGGCTAGAATTCTATATGAATCTGCTATAATTATATCTACACAAAGTACAGAATGTGGTAAACAGCAAATCGTCATGTTCATTTTACATCATCACAGTCAGAACGGGGTATGAAGTGACAAAATGACATCTTTCTTTTGGGTGCCCAAGAAACAATGAATCTAAGAACTCCAAAAAGCGAATCCGAATAAAACTCTTCACAAATTCCAACTTCGAGATCTATCATTGCTAGTTCCAGGTTTTTATCGACAGCAGTGCCAAACTCAACCTCGGCTGAGGATTCCACCTAGAGGTTGTTCAAGGTGTCGTACCGTTGAAAGACGGCTGGATGGATTCTGCGTACCCTGGACAATTTTGATATTCATTGATTAATATCTTTTTCTGATTCTGACATAAAAAGTGACACATATGTCTGTGTCAAATGATTTCTGTATCCACTGCTTTTGCGAATGTTTGCCTGCTGTCCGGAAAATTACAGATTCCCATTGCTTCGAAGGGTTGCAGAGCTTGTCGATGTTAGCTTAAGATAGTTGATCCTCTGGTGATTTAACGTAGCCATGGAAAATGGCCCATAGAAATAGATGGTTTACCTATAGATATAAAATGGTGATTTTCCATGGCAAACTGTTAGTCATAACCAGATGGTAAGTTTAAACTAAGGCCAATCTATGACCCCGGGTCGTATCCTGTGTCCACGGGCCGGTGACCGGGTCCAGGTGGCATTTTCCAATGGGACGCCAGAAGAAGTGGCATGGTCAGTGACTGGGTCGCAATGTTTTTTCGCAGTGAAAGTCTGAGCATTTCATCCCTGTGCAGAAAAAACATGTTGAAACCAGGTATCGTATTCAGTGGATCTATATCAGCTATATGATCCTAGATTCTGTAGCAATTCCGATCTCAGTGGTATATCTCTACTCAATCACCTAGAATCACCTAGAGATGTACATGTTTTTTTTTTTTAAATGTTTTTCCCAATGGACCCCCTTGGGTGTGTCAGGTGACAAGATCTTCTTCATCCAAGCCAATGGACATGGCCACTTCGCTGCATTGCTACCTTTGTTGTAAGCTTTCTTCGGACGACTTATAACGTAAGAGATCAAGATCTTTCTAGCAAGGCGAAAAGGTTGCTACATATGTGCGACAGTCAAAACATGGATTAACAGCGACTTTTACACCCATTGCGAGGATTCCAATTGTGGGATAGATGACTATAAGCCATATATAAACCATACACCATGTAGCTCGACCATGGCACATATCTATACCCATCCCGATTAAAAAAATGCTTGGGATAAGTGTCTCTGGAAGGTGACAGATATTGTTATATTGTTGCGTTGCATGCACCCAAGTCATCTACAAAGTTCAGTTTTTTTTTTCCAGGTCTTGACGCTGAGGTTTTTCCACTGCTGATCGAACAAAAAAAAAGTTTTGTCATATAAAATCACAAAATGTCTGTGAAGGTTGACAAATGAACAAGGTTGGAATTCGGATGTAGTAAAGATTAAATTCAATATTCGATTTTAATCATTCTTATGAGGTAACATAGCTTTTTTCCCTTAAGCATATCACGTCTTGTCATAGCGACTTGAGGTGAAGAACTAATGAATGCCTGGCGGAGCTCCAGCAGTGAAGATGAGGCCATGAGTTTCGAGGTGCGCGGCTGGGGGTTTCCATAGTCATGGTGGTACCCCAATAGCTGGATGGTTTATTTCATGGAAAATCCGAAAATAAAAGTTGGATGAGAACTGGGGGTACCCCCATTTTAGGAAATCTCTATACCTCTATCCACATTATATGTATTTATGATTAGTTAATATTAGTTAATATTAGTTACATAGAACCAGGATGAACCAGGTGATGGATGTCTTGTGATGTTTTCTTCATGTTCTTTGTTCAGAAAGCATGGATGGGGTAACTTTGCAGCGAACTCGCCCTTTTGCGAGTTGGAGTGTGTCACTTTCCGGTGCGGACATGTAAAGTATAAATAAATATATATGTATATATATATAGCAACCCCCTGAACGACAGATCTGTGAAATCCTACTAAAGTAGAGATAATTGTGCTTTTTCCTATCTTCTTTGGGGGTTAGTACAGTATGTGTATATATAGTTACTTAAAGGTAATGCTGTTTGCAGTTTGCAGTTCGGGATGTCCAAAAAAAAGGTGAGTTTTGCCTGGCTGAGGCTGCCGAGCAAGGAACGCTGACGGAGTTGCTGTTTCCCGGCAAGGCGGAATAAGCCCAGTTGTTGTTTTTTTTTTTAAATATCATAGCTGGGACATGATACTCTTCTGTTTTGGATCATCATAAGCCCACTGAATCGTTTTGGGGCTTTCTGTCAAACGAACGTAACGAACTAAGGATATCAGCTCCATGACATTATGGACATGCCATGGGGTACTGTACTCAACAGTTACTGTATGTTTATTATTAAGTACCCTCTGGTAAACGTTAACAAAAACTATGGAAAGATCCACAATTTTTATTAGGTAAATCAACTATTTCCATGGTCCATTTTCCAGTTCGCAAACTCTTAGTCATTACCAGGCCGGGTATATCCCATTAATATCCCATTGAATCACAAAAAAAGATCCCATTTTTTATAACTATAATCCATCATAATGTCCAAGAAAATTAGGTACTACAACCCCCAAAAAAATATCCCACCATCAATGGTCTTTGTAGCCCACTGTATGGCTTTTAATATACACCATCAATGGCTTGTAAAACATATTAAAATTGGTACAATATTAAAAGCCATTGGGACTTTGACAAAGTCCCGGAGCTCCGAAGAAGTCCATCCGGTAACAATCCTTCCTCGGCGTCTGAAGAAGTAGAATGGTGCCGGTAAGAGAAGCTAGCAACGTAAACTTTTTTCAGACTTTCTTATCTATCTTATGTATATATATGTATATAATATATATATCACTACAGTAATATACATCATATATATCATTAATATATATCATCAATATATATCATTAATATATATATATATATCACGAATATGAATATATATCATCAATATATATATATTTATCATTAGTATATATTTATATTTATATATATAATCATTAATATCAATTCTTTCCATTCATTCCCACAAAGTTTGATTTGTGCTTTCCATAATTTTATTTCCCAATAGGTCAATACGATATGGTAATTAAACATAGCTATCGAACATGGCCCCATTCATAGAGGAATTCCCTTACACAAATGGTGTCTTTCCAGTTTGCAGCGTTAGTCATAACCAGAGGCTAGATCATCTTAAATCCTATTTATCACCATAAAACCCCATTAAACCATTCAATCCCATTACCCCCATTTAACCCCCATGGATTCCTGAAGGCTCCGGCAGAAATCCGACTGTTCAAATGCTGGGCCAACCGACTGGTTAGATACTTTAGTAACTTTAATATGCGTTAATATACTGAAGTATCTGATAATATTTTAGTATGTATCCACTTAATATCCATTTATGTGCTTTAATATACTTTTATAGTCCTAACCAGCTCAAAATGATGAATGGATCTGTCTGAAAATGGGGCATACATGGGCATACCCTCAAAGAGAACAGTGTTAGGAAGGAAAATAGTGATTCGCCAGGGGTACCCTATGTTCAGAGAAATCCGAACGTCCATGAATTTTATGATGATAGTTGAGAATGTATGGCACCCGTTTTTTTCCATGTCAGTTTCACAAACCATACCTATGGCACGCAAGAAGAAGAAGGAGAAGTTGGTCATATGATAGGTCTGAATATTATCATGAAATTGGATGTTTGAATTGATGATAGTTAAAACTGGATTATTTTTCATCTTTCACGGGACCAACCATTCTATTATGATAGTGATCGATCAAAATGATGGTAGTCGATGGTTGATTCTAGCTGATCGACATCTAAAGTTCCATCAACCATCAAGCCAGCAAAGTCAGCTATTGCGAGGCCATGAAACTTTTCCAGGTGCGTGGCGGGCAGGATCACCATGATCCAAGATATGTGGGATTGACAACTCTCCCAAAGATATGTTTGGAAAAGAACCAGGGAAGATAATGATCAGAGAATCCACTCGTTGGAAGTCGGGTTTTTTCGTATTAAAAAATACCCACCCGGTTTCGACATGTTTCCAACATGGGATTCAATCCCGACCTTCCGATGTTCACTGCAATGATTGAATCGCTAAAAATATATTCAGATCACTCCTGAAAATCATTTCAGTCGACATTTAGGTTTCTGTATGGTTTCATGATCTTTCATTCAAGATCCATACTCCGGTTTGTTTTTGATTCTCCATAACAAGTCAGTTGAAAAGTGGATTTGGCGTGCCAGGGGCATCTGGTTCCTCTCAACGGATTAGTTTTTCAGGATGTTTAAAGGAAAAAACATGCAGGAAAACCATGGGTTTTGGCACCAATTTTTTTTGGTCTCATGGGTTTGTCTGAAAATAGGGAACCCCGTTTTTTCATCTGGATTCTCATCATTCTCCTTCGAAAAATCACGATAAATTGGGAGGTATACAGAATTTTACAGTCAGACACCATTTTCAGAAATTCCCATAGCGCTCCTGCAGATATTCCCCGTTGGTTTTTTTTAAACCTCCAGTGATTCCCAGGTGTCCCATGCCAAGATTCACGGCAGCGAGCAGCTTCGGGGGAAAGCCACGGTGCTTTTTTCCGCAGGAACTGAGGGACAGCGCCATGGTTGCAGCCTGATGAAAGATAGAAACACCATTCGGGAAAGCAGGGGAAAATGGTGATTTAACCAACGAATGAATGGGGAATGAATGGGATTTTTTAGAATATGTTTATAGCTTTCAGCAGCTACACATGATACCCTTTGGAAATCCTTCATGGCCATCGAGCATAGCCCAGTTGTAGATGATGAACTACGTTAGATGTCCCAATGTACGAGATAGAGTAAGATCCATGTTTTCACCGAGCTGCTGATCCACTCAACATGCATTTTTGTGGATCCTAGGAACACCTGCTTTTTCGGCAATCCTTGTATCCAGACATGATTGGACATGATTCAGACTTAGCTCCAGAGAGCTGCCGAAGTTTCTTGTATCAGAAAGTGGGTATGACGTTTTCCATGACATGTTGAAACAAGCATCGAGCTGCGGCAGTCTGATGGCACCTGGCTGCGAGGTGTTGGGGGGACTTTATCCAGGACACGTCCCTGGCCCCGGAAGCTGTGAAGAAGAAGCGCTCACTGGAGCAGTTGAGACGCATAGGCTGGGCCTTGTTCGTTGGTGGGCTCTGTTTTAGGAAGTGGCCATGGGCCGAAGATGAACGCGGCCAAGTCTCAGAAGGGCTACTTGCCACCTGCACTTGCAAATTGAACCCATCCCATGTTTTCACAATTCTTTTCCATGTCAACCACTTTATATAGATACCAACAGGACATCAATCACCATAAATCCATGTAAAACAAACATCTCACATATCAACGCCTTTTTCCAACAGCAAACCCAAACTGCTCCGAATAAAGGTCCCGGCCCTTGCCACACGGTCCACCATGGCACCAGGTCTTGTGGGTGCCCGCTTTAACGAGCGCCTGCCCGCGCTGAGCGCGGCCATGAGAGGATGGAAGGTACCCACATGGACAGCTGGGATGGCTGGACATCAGGTGAGGAGACGGGAACTTTCGTGGAAGGAATGGTGGAAAAAATGGGGGAACAAGTTGAAGACATGCGTTTCAAAATGCTTTTCAACAGCTTTGCAGTTTGAGCTTTCGCGAGAACGAATTCTGGATGAATTTTCGCCTTGCAGGCGTTGATTTCCCAAAAGGTGAAAGTGCAGGCAGGGCAGAATCGGTGCTGCATCCAATTTAATTGATCCCTGAATGCACAACACATCCATGTGGTCCATATCAGTATGATTCACTATGTGATGAATGATAACCCAGCATTTTGCCAAGAGAAGACAAGGACTACCAATTTTCATGATAATTTAACATATGGGCAATGTTTTGACCTTGTTTTCCCACAAAGGGTAATGGTCATTCCGCCAATTCATAGGGATTTGTATAGCCATTGGATTCGGATAGCTCTTATGGATGACACATGACCAAAAACCAGAAATACCATCTACCATTGCACTATTGCACATATTTAAATTTAATATTATATGATTCTATATGATTATATGGTTGTGTTTTCAGCTGAGGAAATTTTGGTCTTTTCTCAGGCCCAGTCGAACATGTGACATGTGTTCCTTTCCTTTTCTTGCAAAAAGCCTTGTAGCCTTGTAGCATAAATCATGAGCTACATTCTGGGTATAAGAATGTATCAGATCACCATATACATATCATATTCATGTATGCAATATATAACAACCCCTGACAAGATGCAGAAAAAACAGAATTTGATCCAATGCTAAAATAGCGGCAAATCGAGCGGCAAATCGAGCGGAGGATGTTTCAATCCTCTCCTCATTTTAGTGAAGCTTTTTGAACAAAATCAGGATGAAACTTTAAATATGTGTTTGGTAGTTTTTTTTTACAAATGACTCAAATGAGATAATCAGTCCTACTTCAGGATGACATTATATATATATATTATATTTAATATAATATATATAATACATATATATATAGATGTATTAATCTAATACATATATATATACATATATATATATATTAATATATATATATGTATTAATATAATACATATATCTAATATATATATATAATATAATACATATGCATATAATGATATAATATATATATATATACACAGGATATGTTTACTGTATCTCAATCGGACTCGATTTAACACGCCTGACTCGAAAAATGGGTTTTGATACCATCAATGGGGATATCCCAATAGCTGGATGGTTTATTTCATGGACAATTCCATCTATAAATGGACCACCATTTTAGGAAACCTCCATATGGTCTTTATGGGAGAATACGGGATTAGTGGCATTTATTGCGAAACATATTCATGTTGATTTAAATTATGTGATCAGTTTTTGAAATCATCTCTAATGCAAAAACCCAGGATTTTGCGAAAGCCTTCAGTTTCTGGAAAGGGTGGGCGGTTGCCAATTTGAACAGTAATTTGGAACACTATTTCAGGGATAGACCCTCCCAATTGTAGAGTCAGATTTGAATCCAGAGTTGACATCACTACTGTACTGAACATGATCAACATGTGGTTCTCCTGGCCTCAATGATTGACTGTTGCCCACATCTTGCTAACATACTGCATCCACTCATGTGAAGCTTGTCCATTGTCAGGCGTGCTAGCTGAAAGTGGTTGGTTTAAATCCCATTGTCCCCAGATTCATCCCCATAATTATCCCCACAACCATCCACGTCATTCTCCTACATGATTATCCTATGTTCTTGAATTGATCTACCAGAGGATCCAACGCGGCCCCAGGTCAGATGCATCAACTATTTTTAATCTGGAAGACCTGTGAAAGATTCAGAAATAATCACATCACTTCAACTTGGATTTTCCAAGTTAATCCTGATTTTGTTTCCTCGATTCTTTACGGAAGTCGCGCCCAGTGTTGGCAGGTGAAGAAAGAGAACCTGGAAGCGGAAGAGAAGGACAGAGCCATGATGTGTCTAAAGTCTTGCAACTTCAGAATGGACCGTGCAGCCCCTTAGCTTGTGGATTTTAGCAAGGTCGGCAGTTGATGTGGAAACACCGGTAGGGAAATATGGCATCTGAAGATCATTTGCACCGAGCCTTGGTGAGGAGATTCTCGCGGAGCTTGGGGAAAGCGAAGAGTCCGCCAGTCCCAAAATTGACGTTGGAACAATGGATGGTGGCAGGATTTGTATTGAAATATCGTAAATGTTAAAGCTCGGCGCTTCAAGTCTGAAGGTGACCCACAACCCGGAGAATGACTTATAAAAGTTGGCAATGGTTGATGCGTCAAGACCGTCAAGACACTAAAAATCTATAAAAATCTTATAAAAGTCGGCATGATCCCTGTCCGTAGTTTTCTTGGATGTCACGGTTGTTTTCATTTCAAAGGCTGGAAGAGAGCTAATAAAACATGACAGCGGAGTTCCATGGAGTTCCCATTTTTGATGATTGAGATGACACGCCAGGTGATCCTGGAGGCACTGAGGGTAAGGGGATGCCATTTGAAACCCTAATATATATATATGATGGAAATCAGGTAGGAAGTTGGATCGCGTGTTGTTGGAATCCGACATCTGTAACACGTGATGCTGTGATGTTTCACTTCAGGTGGACAGTTTGAGATTTGGAGACAAGAGTATACTGTACCATTTCCTGCCAATTCCTAGCCAGCTCTTAGGCTTTCTAGCCATGTGTGGTCGCAATATCAAGCCATTTCCTAGCTTTGCTATGCCGTTGGCCAGGCCGAGCCAAGCAGAAACTTGGCACTGAAGGTGGGTGACTGATGGCTGTTTGGACATGCACCATCCCGACAACGACAAAAACCCTGAGTTGATCGCAGCCATCTTACAAAAGCCTGAAGTGTTTGACACATGGAAAAGGACAGGGCATATAGTTCTTCGCCTTCCATGTGGTTGCAGCACAATTTTCTAGCTGCAGTACAATTGTCGTTGCAAGTGAGCCCTCATCTTGAGCAAATGTAGACTTCAGCCCCGCATGACAGCAGAACCTTCGCAGTTGTTGCTTCCAGTCTGCAAACTTGTGTGCAGGCCCAGCCATGTTTGATTGTTGGCAGGGCTTCTCTGCATACTTGGCCGGGCTTGAGAATGAGGCACGCTAGACACAATTTGAAGACGCGCTATGTGATGAGTGGAGGAGGCAACGTCTCTGTGTATCCTTGTTTGGCTGCCACCACTTTGTGTCTGGGAAATTTCTACTTCTCTGGGAGTGGATCCTCATCCCAGGGTCAGGGTAGAACAAAGTTGAATTGCCAAGAAATCCTTCCACTGGACTGTCGAGGAAAGAAAGACAATGTTCCTGGGGAAGCTGAGCGAGTAAAACGGCTGAAAGATGTGATGCATGCTTCGAAACGAACGGTTCAATAAATTTGCAAAGAGCCTAAGGCCAGATGACTGGGAAAGCCGAATCAAAGTCATTCTCCCTTTGATTGAAAAGCACGCAAAGCAGATATGGCCAAATTGCAGCGTTGGCTTGCATGGCTCAGTTTTGCGAGAGGTGCACAATGAGTATGGTTCTGACATCGACATTGCAATCCATACCAATTCCTCTTGTTCCGAGCGGGAATTCTTGGATCTCTGTCACTGGCTCACAATAGAGGAAGATTTCGTGCCTCTCAGCGACTCAAGCGAAGTTGGAAAAGCTGCGAAGTTCCTTTCTCATGGGCTCAAGGTAGACGTAGCAATTCAGGAACGCTTTGGGGACGCTTCCCTTTATGACTCAAAGTTTATCGAACAACTCAGACAATTGTATAAAAGTCACCTTCAAGAAGCAGCTCGGGTGGCCAAGTTCGCATTTCCAGAGTTGAAAGGATTGGATGTGGAATTCCTTGTGTGCTGTTTGGCGGAGCGGAGGTTAAAGTTGGGGCAGACAGTTGTGCAATCTTCTGATTTTTTCTTGGAAATATGCTTAGAACTCCGCAACTTCCCCCTGATGCCGTCTACATCGCCCTTGCAGCATCTACTCAAGAATGTTCGGGCTCAACGTGGACCAGCTGCCCAGAAAGACTTGCGGGAAGGGTTGCTAAAAACTCAGCACTTTGCAGATGTCTTGCTGACTGAACTAAATAAGCCTTCCAAGTCACCCGGGGATGACGTAAAGCACGTCTCGCGAACCCATGTGTCAATTCTGGCAGCAATTGTGATTTTTGGATATATGGCGCAGCAAAAACGGTTGCATAAACTTGGATCACGCATAGCAAGACGGGCGAGAGAGCGCCCATCAACCGACATTCAAAGCGAATCTGCCTGGGAATCACCATTTTTCGCAGATCCTTCATTGTCACGTCGGTTTCGGATCGTGCGGGTTGTTTGCATTTTTTCTGGATCTCTTCTCACACAAGAAAAAAATGTTACGGTCCCAGATGGCCATCTGAAATTATCCATTGCCAAATTCGCATTTCCAGACTTGAAAAGATTGGATATGTGTTTGGTAGAGGAAGCGGAAAGGCTGACGACGGAGTTCCCCCTGGTGCCGTCCACATTGCCCTTGAAGCAGCTACACGGTCATGTTCTTGCTCAACATGGACCGGCTGGCAAGGAAGTCTTTCGGGAAACGTTGGGGGAAACGTTGGATCGAAGTTTCCATGTGCACCGCTTTGTCAATTCCGGCCTTAAGCCGCCCATGCCATCGACCCATTTCCATCAGTTGAGCAGAAAAATGCAGGGACTGGCCAAAATGGATCGAAAGATCCGCGCCCAAGGAAATCGATCGAAAGTGCGCCTCAGAAGAAAGAATCGGACAGCAAAAGTAATTGGAAAGAAAAAGCGTGTTAGTTGATTCTGTCCTACGGTCATGAGCTCTCCAGCCATTCCGGAACTTGCAGGTAGAATCGCATTCACGAAGATCTACAAGACACGTGGAAATCAAGAATCTCCAGATTTTTCTTTTTTGCTGGGAACCTGCAAGTGAGGCGAATGGAGCAATTCATCGGACATGGATGCTTGGAGAAGATTGCCACCCAAATGCTGCTCAGTGGAAATGGTCCGACTTGAACGGACTTGAACGAGATTCTTCGAATCACGCGCTTTACGATCTTGCTCCATTGTTGTGAGTTGTTGGTGTTCTGTAGCAGCGAACTTGGGCTTGGACATGTGGATGCTCTGGAGAAGGAATTGGAAAACATTGTGTCTAGAGTCTCCCGCTTTTTAAATCCTGTGCGTCGCAGAGTCTCTAGACAAGCTGCACGCATTCACAAATTATTTAACATCTGCTCCGCGCAAAGTCTGTCAAAGCTACAGAGACAACACAGAAGACAATTCTGGAACTCCAGCGAAAGTGACATTGATGGAAGTAAACATGACCTACTCCAGAAGTCCGTTCCCTGTCACATATGCACCAAATTTCAATGCATACATCTGCAAATGTTTTTTATAGTTTGCCCAAACTCCTATTTGACATATTCCACTCAACTGCTCCATGTTGCAAGCTCCAAGAAAAAAAGGGCGCAGGCACTTGAGATACCTTGAGATTGCAACAAAGGATCCAGTCAACCAGGCTTGTGGATGTATGACTTGCCAAGAGAAACTTGCTGTGCAGGTACTCCACGATGCATGGCTGCCGCGGCGGCGCCGGGAGCAAAACAGCTGACCCCATGGGATTGACTATTCGACCATTTTTTTGTTCGAGATTTTTAAAGAGTGGTTCCCTGAAAGTGTGTTTCCTGAATCGTTCAAATGCAATATACAGAAATAATCAGAAATGTGCATTTAATTATACAATTATATATATACGTACATATATATAATTATATGACATGCATATATATATAGAAATGTATACATACAGCAGATGATAATATATGAATAGACGCGTAATTCTAGACATGAACAACATGCATCGCATCCAGATGACTCCAGTGATGCCGTTGTGTCACCAGCCATCCTTGACTACATGGGGCTTGACGAGATGTGACGACATGCTGTCCTCAAGATGGGGCTTGATGATTGGATTCAAAAAAAACATTAAAAACCTACGTCCCTGCGAAGATTGTTTGTTATCTGAGAGCTTCTAATTTTTGCCGACCCTGCTTCATTGAACTGCTTCTGCCATTCTGTCAATACTGGGAATGTCATTTCAACCTGTAGGACCCATGGACAAAAGCCCAACACTGAACTTCATCTTTTTTACTTGCACCAGGCATGCAGAAGCGATGTTGACGATTTCTCGAGTTTGGCATCCTGAAGTGGATGGGGTCTGGTTTCCTCTTCACCATATTTTTCCTATAAACAAGCATCAATCTGGGCAAATTATGGCGATATCTCAAGTTAGTGAATTTTTGTAATTTGCCCAGATATAAATGGATGGTAATGGATGTTAATGATCATCAATTGACATTGATTTAGTGAATTATTATAATTTTCCCAGATCAATCATCTCAAGATATCTGATGGACAAGTTAGTCATTAGGGACAGGCGCTTTCCCGCTTTCCGGCCATGGCTTTCACCATGGCTTTCCCCCGCATTGCCACGGCAGTCTTTCGACGAGGCGCGGCGGCGCGCGACCAATTAGAGACAAATGAGACTGGCCATCTATAGATAAGATTGTGTCAGCATTGTGTGTGTGTAACATCTGAATAGATGTAAAACTTCTAACACTCTGCAGGGGGTGCCGGGGGCACTGATGAGACCGGCACTAACAAAGACACTCATCAATTGCCTGTGATATCGATGAGGACGCTCATCGACGTACCTGCTTCATTTTCATGTCAAATTTTCTGCAATGGGACGTGGCTAACCCAAGAACCACCTTGCCGAACAAATGGAAGACCACGATTTGGCTCAGATAAAACTGTTACATCTAGCAAGGACGTAGAAAGATTAGCTTCGCAAGGGTTTTCGCCTCTGACCACCAAATCTCTCCTGTCAGGTTAAGTGAAGCGTTTTTGCACGTACGATGCATTCCACATCAGAATTCGCAATGATGGTTCTGAGCAAGTGTGTGTGTGTGTCGTGTGCTCACATAAATCCGAACAGATCCCCGCTTAATGTTGAAAGGATTTTAGTTTCGTCATATGGCTCATGGATCAATTTCAAGATATTTTATTTACTGGGGATGAGCATCCAGAAACAAGGGATCGCCGCCGCGAAAGGGCCGTGGACGTACACCATTTTGTTTGATTTAGACATGCAAAAACCTTAATTTCTGAAAGAATTTGGTTTTTCCAAGACAAGAAGCGCAGACTCTCATGCGTCTTTTTCCTTCAGCGTCCATGTGGTCACGATTGACAACCTTTGCGTTCCGATGTTGAAACCTCGGCAACTCTCGATTCTTGTGGCTGCCTTGTTTGATTTTGAAGCCCGTTCTTTAAAAAAAAAATCTTGGGCCAAGCTTTGGCGCCATCTGTGAAAGGTGATGAGTTTTTTAAAGATCTGTCAAGCAAGCTGCCACTGGATCTTTCTAGAAAAAGCAATGAATAGCCATATAATTTAATGTTATTGTATCCCCATTACATCACCATCTCAGTAGGACTTCCAATGATTTGGGGATATCATTGATATCATGAGAAATCACATATAAATCAGATTGATTCAGATTATATAGCTGCATTATATAGCTAAATTATATAGCTATTGTAATGATATATGGTATCCCCATATATGTCTATAACAATATACCATACAGTGGAATGCTAAAGTCGTGCCTAAAATTTGGAAATCATCGTAAATAGCTGGGGAGCACTTGATTTGAAAAGTCGTGCCTTTTTAGTAAAACGCATAGGAATTGCAATGTTTTGTTGGATTTGGTCTTTGGAATAGTTTTTGTTAATAAATCTTGCGTTTAGGTTGTGTTTAGCATCAAGAGTACCTTTTCCATATTGCTAATAAATCTTGCGTTTAGGTTGTGTTTAGCATCAAGAGTAACCTTTGATTTTCCCAAGTGTGGAAACATTCTTCTTATACATACAGGATTCCATGGTGTTTTAAGATTTGGGCATGACTTAGGCATGAGTTTCTTGAAACAGCGATTCCATGGTGATTTACTAGCAAGTTTTGACCCAGGCATGAGTTAGGCATGAGTTTGTCGTTTGACTGTATCAGGGAGATATCGTCATATCATGGTGTTCCTATATTGTCATACCAAAAAAAGATCATATGATATCATAATGAATCTATTGACATATATTGAATCTATTGACATTATTTGATTCATATCCATATCCTACAATATATTCATTACTGTATATATCTATATGATCATACAATGTATATGAATCTCCTACATTGTCATCCAGTAAGATATGACTCTGACGTTTGCCTCGAGACTGGTGAGGCTATGCAGCTGAGCCGGTGCTGTCCCAGCTGTCCCGAGTGGTCTCAGCACAGGGCACTGGTGCCTTGGAGCAGTTCCTTGGCACGGCGACGCCATGGGGATGGGACTGGTAGGGCTGGGGGTGGTGAAAGATCGGTCAAACTTTGAGGGTTGAAAAGATGGATAGAAGTAGGGCTATGGCATGTGAGAATTTTTGTAAGTTGGGATATTGAGGCTTCTCTAACTATGATTATAGATTATATTACCCACCTGGAACTGAAACGGCAGCCCCAAGATAGGTGGCTTCAAATCGTGGCGCCCGACTTTGTACATCAAGATCATCTCCATATGGAGGTTTCCTAAAATAGGGGTACCCCCAAATCATCCATTTTAGTAGGATTGTCCATTGTAAACCATCCAATTGGGGGTACCCCCCGCGGAGGTAAATCCCAGTAGGAGCAGGTCCATGTTACATGTGGGATCAATCACTGAAAGATCCATCTATGTACCTGTTTTTCCTTTCACAAACAGCTGATCCATATCATGTATATATGATATATAATCATATATATAATATAATAGGTATAAATTCAATGATATATAGTGATATGTAATATAATATAATTACAGTATGTCTACACTCTGCTAATCAAACATGGCAATGGAAAATCCCTCGACATGGAGGTTTGAATGGGAGAAACATCTAAAAATGGGGCATGTTTAGCTTGATTAACGTGTATGTATGTATGTATGTATGTATGTATGTATGTAATGTACTGTAATGTAATGTAATGTAATTTTATGTTATGTTATGTTATGTTATGTACGTACGTATGTACGTACGTATGTATGTAGTGTAATGTAATCTAATATCATGTAATGCAATGCAATGTAATGTAACGTAATGTAATGTAATGTATGCATGTATATATAGGTATATATAATGTATGTAATGAATGTATGTTCCCATGTAAAACGGGCATATTTTCTCAGCTGCATGCGAGGTGGTACTCCAGTTTGTTAGCCAAGTTTATTTGTTTATTTCTGTGATTTAGACTAATATCAGTAGGGTTTTCGGTAGATATATCCATGGTTAATGGTTAATTAATGGTGTGTAATTATATCAAAAATATCGTACATGATCCGATAAACTTACAGCCATAACAACATTATCACACCTGTTTTCACCATACCCTATGGATCCAAACACTTCCTTAGAAGGTACTTGAATTAATAAGGTATACAAATTCGACAATCATATAAAACCATACATCTATCTATCTGTCTGTCCGTCCGTCCATCTGTCTATCGATCTATCGATCTATCTATCTATGTCTACCTACCTATCTATCTACCTACATCATGCATAATATCTATCATGTATCATCTATCATCATCCATGATTAAAAACAGACATGTTCCCATGAAAAACGGCTGTTTTTTGAGGCTCCATGCCTCTCACCCCGATGCCGCGGAGCAGCGCCGGGACTTGCTGAGACGCCTGGGGGCGGAAGCGGAGAAGGCGGACCGAGATGGCAGCTGAGATGTCGAAATTAGCAGTGATTAACCATCTGGTTGGTATCTATGGCCTCAAATTCGCTTGGTATGTGGGGGGATTTATGTCTTGTGTAAAGCATTCCCAGTCATGGTAGCTGTTTATAGAGTTTGACTGAGTTCTGGTTGGTGGTATGGAACAGTTTTTATTTTTCCATATCTTGGGAACAATAATCCCAACTGACTTTCATATTTTTCAGAGGGGTAGGTATACCACCAACCAGCCATCCATGTTCAAAACCACTTTCGCAGGCTGCCCATTTTTAACCAACACCCATATGGGGATGTGTCCACTTGTAAAATTTTGTAATGGTCAATGCTATGAATAACCATTCCAGAAAGGCAATATGAGCTACCGATACCGATTGTTGACGATTTGTTAGGTGACTGACATTGGCTGGCTGAGGGAAGACTAACTATCAGGGGAAATCAATGGAAATCATAGTCTTCTAACTAATCTAATTACCCTCCTACCCTCCATTAAACTAACAGTTTGCTATGGAAAATCACCATGTTTAATAGCTAAATCATCTATTTCTATGACCCATTTTCCAGTTCGCACACATTTTTTGGTTGACTGGCCAGTCTCCAGGCCATGGCCGGGTACCGATGCCAGGACGACAGCAAGAAAGCGGAAGCCATCAGAGAAGCGCTGGATGCGTTGGAAGATGAGCATTCCCTGGTTCGCCTTGCAGGTGTGGAGATGCGGTGTGGAGAATCGCCTCCCCTATAGCCATAGGGTACCACAAAGAACTCCTAGAAGTCGTACACCCCCAAAAAAATTCAAAAAAGAAACGGAACCCCAAGATCTGCGGAACATCGTTTTACTTCATGGCTATTCGTTGGAGATTTCCTGCGGCAACATCCCGCGGATCCCGTGGTGAGGTATCCACGCCTTGGCCCGTGTGGCCTCCATGGGATCCTGGCAAACTGTGGCAGCGATGGCCACTGATCCTGATGAGTTGGTGCGGGTGGCTGCGGTGCGAGCGATGGGACGCATGGCGGAACCAGGTGGGGCCAGAGGTGGAAAATGGTGGAAATGGGTGGTGAAATGAGCCCCTAATTATAGCAACCCCCATAACCAAGAGTTATATATAACTAGGCTGTAAAACGAGGTAGGAACACCCCGAGAACGAGGCGTCGTACGGAAAGCATTTGTCAAAAACAAGTGCGGCATTGGAGAACGAGGTCAGACCCCAAAAAACGTGACGGGACTGGAGAACAAGGTAGGAACACCCCGTCAGTTGCATTCTGTACCAAATAACTTCCGCGGCTTATATGCACTTAGTTCACTGGAACTGCACTTCCAAGTATGGCGGCTGTAGCTGTTTCTTTTTTTGGGGGATGGTGTGGTGTGGTTGGACACAACGTGGCACCACACCAAAAAGTCATGCTGATGAGGATGAGGATGATGCTGAGGATGAGGAGGATGAGGATGATGATGATGATGAGGAGGAGGAGGACAGGGCGATATTGTTTTTATTATGACATTGACACTGACACTGACACTGCTTACTGTAACTAGTGGAAAAGCTACACCTGTAATTTCTTAAAAGTTTAATCTGCCTGTTTGGGTTCTGCGAAGCTTTTGACATTGCACAATGAACGGTCAATGATGGCGTCATGCCACAATCCTTGGCCTAAGCCTCAAGGCTCTGCTGATTCCCTGTGTGGCCAGGTGATGCAGAAGCTTTGGAATTTCTAGAGAAAGCTGAGAAAGAAGCGAAGGATCGTTCCGTTGCTCGGCACGTCCAGCGTGTTGGACGGGACATTTTGCTTTGTGGATGTAAAGGTATTCCATTCCATTACACTACACTACATTGCATTGCATTCAACTACACTCCATTACACTACACTACGTCACGCTACATTACATTACACTACATTACATTACATTGCATACATAGATGCTGTATATATGCATATACATACGTAACACGTATATTTGGACATATTTCACACAACATGATCTGCCAGTCGTGCTTTGGACAAACTCTGTTGGATACCGGAAACTGTGAGATGAAGCATAGCATCACGCATCCCCCCAAAAAAGATGTCGAAAAGTGTTGCAAAAGGATGTTGCCCATAATTTTCAGGTGTCCAAATTTTCTGTGTTTATTTTGGGGTTGCTTATGATAATGTTATAGTGTCATATGTCATGGTCAGGTGCTAAAGGAAACAATTACGCAATACCCATTGTCAGTTGGTTCTATAACTATATGCTATATACTTCAAGTTTTAGTTATACTGAAATACTATACATAGCTGAAAATGCATAAGGCGGAAACACCTGATCGATTTTGGAAAGAGATAGAAAGAGTGAAAAAAATCACCGTGGGACCGTAGGTTTTGCCCATACAAAAAAATGTAAACTTATACATTACAAGAAACACAATTTCTTGCCCATGTCTATATGGTATACATAAAATGTGGTGCCACCCCCCCGTTGCAAGTTGGTTTATACCCCCCATGAAAACTAGTTGCATATATCTACTGTAAAGTCCCAGTTGTTACAACCCATCTTAGCCCTATTTCGGCACCAAAATGTAGAAAATATCCACATGTGGATGAGTCAAAACCTATTCTTACCACACAAGATGGGGCTCCCCAGCTGTAAGTTGGTTTATAAATCCCATTAACCATAGTTATCTATATTTGTATCTGTCATAAACCACAGTTAAGCCACTTATAAACCAACTGAACGCTATCTTGGGGGCCCCAACCTGCATGATTGGTGAATCAACATCCAGCAAGAAAACCAGCTCTACCAGCTATGACCATGGGGGTTTTCGGGACCACAAATCATCCAAGTCGACCATGTAGGATTGAAACCCATGGTTGGACGATTGGACGACCCGACCCATAGATGTCCCAAATTCCCACTGGTTGGTTGATGAAAAAAGAGGGCTTTGAAGGAACCCCTTTAACAACAGGTTTCTATGATGATAGATGGGATTAGCCAGCTCCCGGCCCAAACCTATTTTTAACAAAAGGACATTATTACAGGTCATCCAGGTTTCCGCGGAAAGCCAGGTGCGCGGTGCAGCGCGCGACGCGGCCGCGCGGCTGCGGGGGCACTTTGGCGCGCTGCCGGGGGGTGGCCAAGCAACGATGCTGGAGTGATGTGGAAAGCAGATGATGATTGGATTGGTTTAAGGGAAAATTTACAGGAAACCATAGATTTTCCTGTTAAATATGGGTCTTTCCTGTAGATTTTCCCTTAAACCAATTCATTGAGATGATCAAGGTTTATCAATGGCAATTTCAGGATCCTAGATTGGAGGTACCTACCATATATAGGGCCTATGTAAGGCCTAAATTTCAGGGAATATCCCCACAAAATATGGCCTTATATGGTACTAACGTACATCCATTTTAGGATCCTGGAATTCCCATTGAATTTAACATCATTTAACATTCCACAAAACCACAGATCTTTGGTATTGTGTTGATTCATTTTTGACTATTTTATTCATCCAACTTTTAGCATTAAACTGTCCCATTTCAGGACTCATGATGTTTGGCATTTTTCTCTTCAAATGATTTGGCAATGAAATGATTTGGCAATGGAATAGCTGAGGAATGGAAAAAATAAAAAATGAAATGATTTGGCCATGGATCTTCCATTTTGGCATTTTGATGATTTTGGATGTTCCGTAAGTTGAAGCGGCTACAGCTGGCACCTGGCGGTCGAAAAAAAGCGAGGTGTCCGACTGGCGGTTTCCGCTAGCCAAGCAGGTCTAATGAGATGAGTTGACTCGACCCTAAGAGGTCGAGTATGAGAGGTCGAGTATGGGATGTTGCAGCCAGTGGTGTTTTCTTGCCCTCGGAACAGCAATCATTTCTGCCCCAGTGCCTTCTCTTTTGTGATTTGATACGTCTGCATTCGTCAGATCAGGATCTGTGGGGGGTCATTCCGGTGCCCCAAAAATCCAATGGTTTAAGGATTCTTAAGGCTTCATTTTCCCAAATTAATCCCATCCTGAGGGAAATCATGGTTTTTTCTAGGTTTTTCTAGGTTTTTCTTGGGGATTTACTATTGGAGGGGTGCATTTCCCCTATGAACCTCCGGCATCCCGTGGCCATTTCCAGCGCTCCAGCGTCCATCCGCTGCCATGGCGCAGCTTCCAACAGGCCACCAGGGCCACCGGCGCGGCGTAGCAGCACTGCTGCTGCTGGCGCTGGGGGTTGCGCCAGGATTTTTGCTGCCAGAGGCACGACATCTCTGCTTTGTAGATGGGTTTGTAGATGTTTTGTACAATTGGTTGGCCCAAAAATTGATTGTTCATCATCATGTTTTCCGAATTATGGCTGAACTTGGGAGCTTGGGGGCTCATTTTCAGACAAACCCGGAGATGTTCCTAAGTTGACAGTTGATAAATCAACATAATCAACTCGCCGTTGATTCATGCATTTGCCTCACATGAACAAAAATTAACAACGAAACCTATCCAAAGCTCGCTGGAGTTTGGATCCAGTCCAGGTGCCACAGGGTGCATTGCCTCGCCGAAGTCTGGGACTGGCTGCGGCGTTGCCGGGCCTGCTGGGTACCTTGCAAGCGCCGCAAATTGCGCGTGCGGAGCAGGGCTGGCAACTGAAACTTCCCAGGCTGTGAATGATGTGGATGGTTGGTTTCAAGGGCTTCAAGTAATCAGACTGCCAGATTTTGAGGTCACATCGGCATACATCGACCATGTGGGGACTTGAAAGGACTAAGTGACGAAGTCAATTGCATCTGACAAACTGGCTTTGTGCGGAAGTACCGCAAAGACAACCCTGTCTCCTGCTTGGATGCACTTCACAAGATCCATGATGGTCCAAGGGTGAATTTGCCTGCACGCTGAAGTCCCCCCAGAAATGGTTTATTAGGGAATATTTGCAGGAACCCGCTACAACCACAATGATCCACAATGGTTTCTTCAAGAAATTCCCTTTGTTACATCCTGCTCTCGGCTAAAGTTTTTAAAGAGGCTAAAGCGTTTTTCATGGTATTTCCCGGCTGTTTTCCCAGCTTTCTGTGGCGGAGGACCTGGAGAACCTTCGAGCAAAACGCCCAGCCGCCGCCAGAGGTGAAGAAAGCCACCGCGCTGGTGGTGGCCGGCAACCCGGAACAAGGCATCCTGCGTGAGAAAAGCTCCGTGATGGTGAGAAAAGCCATGGAAAGGTGAACATGTTTTCTTGGTTCAACAGCCATCTTCAAGCATGATGTCACCATGATTTTCTGGAAAACATGGGATTCATCATGGCCATGTTTCATCATCATGTTTGATGGTACTACGGTATACCATTGATACCACACCATGATATCATCATCATTTTTCCTGGTCAAACCACTATTTTTTGTGGTCAAACCACCCATCTAGAGGATGGGGCCCCCAAGATGGCGTTCAGTTGCCTTATAAGTGGCTGAATTCTATGGTTTATGGTAGATAAGACTATAGATAACTATAGTATTCGTGGGGTTTATAAATTATCAAAGTAGATATCTACCATAAACTGAGTTAAAGTAGATATCTACTATACTTAATGGGGTTTATATCTACCACCAACTTATAACTGGGGGGCCCCATCCATCCGAGTTTTCTTCAGGCGGAGAGCTGGTGGTACTGCGGGTGCCATTGTCCTTGGATCCCAATGACCAAAATGCCAAGGGCAACAAGGAGCCAGAATTTCCTATGGTGATACCATAGGAAAACCATAGGAAACCATAGGAAAACCATAGGAAATCTATAGTCTTATCTACCATAAATAGTGATTGAATGTGGATTGATGGTGATATTGATACTATAATTATTTAGAGAATGTCTTATTATTCCCATCAATCTTTTTTTAATGGCGATACTGTGGATTGTTGCGAAATCCTGCACCACCTTGGATGGTTGAAACCCTATAAATCATGGGATAAGCCATCTATCAACTGGTGCAGGATTTCAATGGGGATATAGGAGGTTTAAAAAAACACACATGTAGGAAGTTTTTTTCGATACAACGGGGATATACCAGGGATTTCTGGAATACTTTGGGATTTTTGGCGATGGAGAAGAAATGATGGTTACCGGTGGAGAATTTCGTCCAATAATGATGGTGTATATATATATATATACATATTTATTTATATAATTATATATATATACGGATACCATTTTAAGGGGGATGAAATTCCATAAATCCCAGCTATTTTGATGTTTACCAGGGCTACAGGGTTTTGAGCCATGGCGTAATTTGCCCAGATCGTTTGATTTGGTACCGAAAAACCAGAAATGAGAAATGAAAAAAAGAAAAACTCGTGACACAATGAACTGCTGTTGAAGCTATGTCAGGATTCTCTGAATTCCAAGAGTACACAAACTGGCAAAGATCTGGCGACCAAAAGAAACGAATCATCGATGTATACCGTGCTATACATTGGTCATATTTGATCATATTTGCAGAAAAATGCATCTCAAACTTCAAAAAGCTGCGACATCTACAAGGTGAGGACAGTGTTCACTGTGGGTTGACTATGGTGACTATGGGGTACTCAAAAAGTCGGCTTTATAAATCAACGTTCACATCGCTGGGAGGCCTAACCTTTTCTTAGATGATTTTAAAGGTTTGTTCTGGGATCTATGGCGAATCTTTTTCGGGATCTATGGCCTCACATTCGGTTGGTATGTGGGAGGATTTAAGTCTTGTGTAAAGCATTCCCAGTCATGGTAGCTGTTTATAGAGTTTGACTGAGTTCTGGTTGGTGGTTTGGAACATGAATTTTATTTTTCCATATATTGGGAACAATCATCCCAACTGACTTTCGCTCCATCATTTTTCAGAGGGGTGGGTCAACCACCAACCAGGTTTTATGTCATTGGGTTTACCACCAACCAACGGGTTACAAACTGCTGCCGGACACACCTATATGCTCCATGGTGCTGGTATATTTACCTACATTTCCCCTAATAATCACCCAGTTTTGTAGGTAAATATACCAGCACCATGGAGCATATGGGACAGGATTTGGTGAGCTATTTCACCTCTGGCTTGGACAAGCAGCCCTCGGTGACAACTGCCAAAGCCGCCGAGCCTTGGCCAAGCCGGTGGATGTGGGATGTGGGGCAAAGGGGTGAAACAATGGGGATGTCACGCAGCAAAAATCCTGCGAAAAGATGTTTTGCAATACGTTTCCAAAACGTTTTCAATGCTGTTCTTTATGGGTTTTGATGGGATTATCAATGATTTATAGAGCCGGCTGGGGCTGAAGCTCTGCTTGTAGCTGGATGGGTTTTGGCTACAGATAATACAAATAGAATTCAAATACATATCTGAAGATTTGGATGTTGGGCAATCCTGTCTTTGGACGCACAAAGAAATGTTGTAAACATGCAACAGTTTCACAGTAGCAACGGTGGATTCAGCGGTCGGATGTAGTCGGGCCACAGTATTTCTTGGGGAACCATCGAGTGGAATATCAACATCACACAGGGCAAATGTGCCATGTTCATACTTGGGCAGCAGCCACTTAAAAGCAGACACTCCATTGGTTGAAATTTGCGGGTTTTGTGTTGATAGATTTGGACAAGAACTGCCATGGCTGATCATTATATCATCCTCAGCATGGGGCTCGTAACCATGGTTGGTACGTCTCTGAGCTGGGCATATCCTTGGCAATAGCGGCTTATTACGGGTATCTTGTAACTTGCTAGCAGTACCTTCTGGTCCAAAAAATAATAAAATCATGCGCTTCACTAAACTGACGTAGGGTCACCAGTTGTAGGAATTGTTCACCCCTTCTACAGCTCCTCCGAATCAAAGGAAACCACAAATTACTGATCTATACAGCAAAGCCAGAATCATTCGTTGGGAATGATGGGAATATAATAGGAATCACATTGAATCTCACGTTCATATAATTACTCACCAGAAACGAGAGCAGTGTTCAAAACCCTCTGTCATCCTTTTGTATTTACTGGTTGAGACCGCGATTCCGAATTCATGGATGGTGATCATTCTGAGAATCCCCAATATTCTTCAAGGGTATTACTATCCAACAATCTGTATATTGCAGCAAACGCCGGACAAAAGCCCAATGACATCTCATAACCAACTATGTATAATATATATATACGATAATATGAACCTTCACATGTAGACTATCTACAGAAATAACATCCACTAAGTCTAAATTTCAAGGGTAGCACCTATCTAAAAACACTGGGGTAAACCAACAGTTCGATGTGGAACATCCACCATCAATGTAGACCATTTTCCCAGGAAAACGCCATGGATTTTTTACATCTTACACATGTCGCAATCCCCCAAACAGATGCCGAACTGTGGGACAACCTGGAAATATGTATGAAATACCATCAAACATCATCAAACTAACCTCCTGGAAACACAACTTTTGGCATTTTTTCAGGGCTGATTCGCCAATCCTCCAAGTATTCACCCGACCCGCCTGTTTTAGGAGGTGGTCACCTCCTCTCAAAAGACAGCGCCGGGCTTGATCAAGCCGCCTGGCGGCATGGGGCATGGGGAGTTCTTGAACATCCTTAAATGATCATAGTAATTTATATATAGGGGGATTATGAGTTGATGATGATGATGATGATGGTGATGGTGATGGTGATGGTCATGGTGATGGTGATGATGATGATGATGCTGATGCTGATGATGATGATGATGCTGATGTTGATGCTGCTGCTGGTGATGATGATGCTGATGCTGATGATGATGATGATGCTGCTGATGTTGATGCTGCTGCTGATGATGATGATGATAATGATGCTGATGCTGATGCTGATGATGCTGCTGCTGATGATGATGATGATGATGATTATTTGGATGATGATAATGGAATGATTTTATGATTTTTGATGATGATTATTATTATGATTATGATCATTATGATCGTTATCATATGATTATTCTGGGAATAAATTAGGATGATTGTGGTTATTTTGTTTTCCCAGATAAAAAGCTGTCTTCACAGGGGTTTTGTTGTTGCTAAACTGCTTGAAATTATCATATTATGGAGGTTTCTTAAAAATGGTGGTACCCCCGAGTCACCATGGGTTTCAATACCAAGTCATAGCCATCCATGACTTGGATTTAATCATGTTTCAATCATAAGGAGGGAATTTCAATGATTGGTTGTGTTTCATTGAAAATAAATATTATATACTACTTGGATTGTTTTTGATTTGTGATCATGAGACTACCCACTTATTGACATCCAGATGATTCTGTGTGTTTGTTTTTTCATATAAATGACTATCATGGGATTGTGTCAATATTGTAATATGGGAATTAGTATCTAAGCATCAATCAAACTATGGGAATTTTAGATGTGTAAAAGGATCATGAGGAGTGAATTTCAATGTATACGGTTTGTTTGCACGTGAAACAAGTCTATAAAGATAACAGCTTTTGAAAGTAAAGCATGAGATGTGGATTTCAATGAGAATATCATGGGGGTGCAACGGTATGATATAGGTTTGTCCAAAATGGGCTGAATACCCTAATATATGGCAATTTTTATAGGGAACATGATAAATGACTGGATTTTGGGGTACTAGGCTATCTTTGACAAATTCACATGTGGGTGATTCAAGCCCAGGAAGAAAATGATCCAACCCAGATGGTTTAGTTCAACCCAAAGGGATACGGGAAGCGGTTTAGGATCTCTTGTTCCCGGTGAGGAATGATTTCTCCCTGTGTTTAGTACATAATGGATATCCTTGTATATCATGACACACACACACATATTACATAATATATATATAATTATATAATATATAATTATATATATATCATAATATCAAGACTTATATCTCTATAATTATCGCACAGTGATTTAAATTGATGACTTCCATTGAAAGTTAGCACGTCGCTAAGTTCAGGTGGAACTTCTTGGAACAGCCGGCTGAGAAGGTGATTTATGGTCGGCGCTCCTCGGAGAAAACACCGTAACTAATGGGTAAATGATGGTAAATGATGGGTAAATAATGGTTAATAATGGTAAATGATGATTAAAACATGTTGGACATGGAGATCTAACCATGTTAATGATGGTTAATGATGGTTTTTCTGATGGTTAATGGTGATTAAGATATGTCGGACACGGAGATCTAATCATCAATTTAAGTGGTTTTTCTGATGCTTCAGTGGTTTGTTGGTTACTTCTTCTCCTGTGTCAGCGTCAACATGGGAGAATCATCGAACTATTGCTACAGGGGGCTACAAAGACCATTGATGGTGGGATATTTTTTTGGGGGTTGTAGTACCTAATTTTATTGAACATTATGATGGATTATAGTTATTTAATGGGATCTTATAGTGATTCAATGGGATATTAATGGGATATACCCTCTGGTAAACTAACAGTTTGCTATTGAAAATGGCCCATTTAGTTCGTTGATTTACCTATTAATGGTGATTTTCCATAGTTTTTTGTAAACGTTTACCAGAGGTAATTTCTTGGACATTATGATGGATTATGGATTATGATAACCTATAGATAAAACGGCATATACCGTTCTGAACCAAGCAGTATTTCATGGGATGAGAGAGTGGTATTTCGCATGGCTCAAATGATGTGACTGGGTGAACCATGGAATACATGGCCCATGAAAGGTTCGATGATTTACCGAGCTTCAAAATGGTGATTATCCATGAGCTATGTGGAATTACCAGAGCTATTGATTTGTTTTTTCATATCAATGTTTTCTTTTTTTGAGTGGGAACAGTTCTTACCCAACTAAGGAAACCATTCATACAGGGTATCTCAGATTGTCCGTGATGGGGGGACAAAGCTGTGTATGAGTCATGATGAAAACGATAAAATCAACAAATGGCTACCTATGGCAAGTGGGATTCCCCACCAAGAATCGATGGTATACGGTAAAGATTTGTTTTTGTTAAGCCTTAACATGGCTGTTGATGTTAAATGTGGTTAATGCGCCCTCAATCCCTGCTTCTCGAAGCTCTGACTGTTGGTGTCGCCGAAGTGGGGATGGTTGGTTCGATCATGTTAAATCCCTTTGAAATGTCATCAAATGATGATCCGTAGATGGATCAGTGGATGAAATACTGCAGGATATTTGAAGTATGACTACGAGGCGAGCATTTGTCCTGGCGTTGCCCCTCGATCATGAAGTCGAGGGGACAGGGCGATATGGGTCAAACATGAAGGCCCAGGCAGATCTTGGTCATTTTCAATTTTAGGGGTATCCAATTTTTATCCAGATGTATACATGGGTAAATTATAGCGACTCCATTTTGTCTCACCATAGATGATGGTTCGGATTTGGAAAATCATCCTCAAACAACCGAACTTTTCAGTTTAGTGAATTATTACAATTTATCCAGAATTAAGACAATTCCCCAATAAGGTCTGTCTGAAAATAGGGTACCCCCAAAATCCCATGAATTATCATTCTCTTCCGTCTCAAATTACTCTCTGGGGTATCCCTCATTTTCAGACACACCCATCATCAATTCCTCAAGTTTTTGGGTACCGGAACATGGATTCTGGATTGGTCTACTCTGCGACTGACCAAAGTCTGCGGTCTGCGTCTAAGATATTGACGGTCTGAGATATCCATTCTTGTAACCCACAGTTGGTTTCATATATGCTGACTACGAAAGGGTTCAAAACTATGAAAACCACACACTATCTACATGCCCAAAGCAGATCATGCATGCAATAAATTTACAAATGTTTGTACATTATATATATAATCATATATATATATAATCATATATATATAATCATATATATATATATGATCATATATATATAAATACATATATATAATTACATATATATATATGTACATATATATATGTACATAAACACATATGTAGATGTTGATATATATATATATATATACGTATATATATATGTATATATATACATATGCATATATTTATATATATGTATACATCTATACGTACATATGTAAATCATTTATATATATATGTGTATATGTATATACATGTATATGTATAGATGTGTGTATTTATTGATATACATATGTATATGTATACATGTATGTATGTATATATGCATTTGCATATATATATATATACATATATACATAAGTATATGTATAAATATTTTTCATATACCATATATATATTTATATATATGTATGATTATATTATTCTATATGCCAAAATAACTGTCATGTGAGTGAATAGTAAGGCTCCCATTTAGCATGGATGGTTCCACCAGGACCATCACTTTTGACCTGAAGATTTCCGAGGTGACGAAGGGTAGCAAGGGCGATACCTGTATGGCAATTGAGGCTGGCTTTTGTCATGATATTGGTGATTGCTCTTGTTTTGCATCCTTATAAATCGAGTAATGTAGAGAGTCGTTCTGTTGATGTCCAAATGTGCCTCATGTTTCTGGTGTAGTTTCTATAGCTGTGTTCAGAACACATCCCTCCTATTTCTCTAAACAGTGTGTCCACACTGAGGGGTTCTTACGGTAGGTGTAAAGGCCAGTGCTTGATCAGGGTGCTCCATCTGGGCTGCGACATTTTTCCTGTAAATTTCAGTATAAAGTGGCTCTTGTGAAATGTCCAAGTGCATTTCGCCTGCGCAGGCTCGCACAAAATTTGTGTCTGCGTTCTGGGCTCACCCTGGGCCCCACAAAACGGTTGTCGCGGTCTTGGGATCGGCCCTCCTCCTCCACATCATCATCTTCCTCCTCCTCAACATCATCATCCTCCTTCTCAACATCCTCCTCCACAACATCATCATCCTCCACCTCCTCTTCCGCAACATCATCATCCTCCACCTGCTCTTCCGCCACATCATCATCCTTTTCATCATCCTTCTCGACATTTTCATCATCATCATCACCATCATCATCATCATCATCCTCATCCTTCTCAACATCATCATCCTCCACCTTACCATCCTCCACCTCATCACCCTCAACATCATCATCCTGCCCCTCATCATCCTGAACACCATCCTGCACCTCATCGTCCTCAACATCATTGTCATCTTCATCATCAACAACAACATTATCATACATTCTCCTCTCACACCCCCACACTGTTTGGGGTCTCTTGCCGGGATAATTTGCATGGATTTCCACTTGCAAGATGCTTTGCTTCATACAATTTGTTCAAATGTCAAGACAATGGGGGTCAAAACCAAACCATTTCGGGGCGAACATCCACTTCTCTTGCTTGGAATCCTCTGATCGTTCGGTTGGTGCTGCCCACACCTCACATTGCGCACTTTGCATGGCTCAAAACACTGAGCACTGAGATTGCTGCTCACAAGAGTTCAGTTTTTTTTTGGATCCTGTGATTTTGCACTTATCTGTTGTGTCTTCTACTTTCGATAGCAACGCACCTTAGTGCTCACAAGATTGCTAAGTTGATTGATAGCTCTAGTGACCAGAATTTACAGTAGGATCTTAATGGTGTTTTAAACCAATTTGCAAACTGGTTTTCATATGTTTCACTGATGAAACCACCCACTAGAGAATTACTAAATCCAGATTCCTATCCGTTTTTATTGTTTAAACATCGTTGAACAATGTCGAACGCCTCATTTTGCTGTCTCTGAAAAAGGGGTGTACCCCAAAATTGCTATGTTGATCTTCGGAGAATGATGATCAACCATCAAATTCTCTTGGTTTTCCTTGTTTTTTGGTGCTAAACATCTATAAGTCGTATGACATTTTGAGGTTTGTCCCTTCGGTCAGGACACCTCTGAGTTGCCTTTGTACGAGCGTCGCCATCGTATCCTGCTGACCGTCACTGATGAGGGCGCCACAGCACGGGGCGAGAAGGCAAGGGATCAGAGCCTCAAAAATCCGGTTGGTTGAGTTTTTTTTCGGGGATTACCCTCTGGTAGTTTAACATAGCTACGGAAAATCACCATTTTTAAGTTCTGTAAATCAACTATAAAACGGTCATGTTCCGATATGTTAAATTACCAGAGGGTATACTGTCCAATATATCGAGAAAATTGGATTGTAATGAGTACTATATCATACTCTATCCAATATATGGGGGATGATTTACATTAATTATTTTCTGGGGTCATCAAACGCGGCTGGAAAATCCCCAAGACTAAACGGAGGTTTACGGTTGGGAAATTCATCTATGAATCGAGAAATTTCCAGCAAACCATGTTTGATTACCGGCGGGTATCATAAATCATGATGGATATTATGGGACACCCTATTTGCCAACCAGCAAACCAGCAAAATGAGGATAAAGTGGTGATAGTTTGGGTAATAATGGGGACATATCACAAACTGATATGATGTTCCCAATTTTCAGACACACCTATCTTGGCAAAAGAAATCAGGGTCAATAATTTTAGTACCAAAGCATTGGAAGCGATAATTTTGGCTCAGAACATATACCCAGGGAACATCCCGAAGAGGCTGGTCCTCAAAATTGTGGACCTTCAACAATCACCCCAGATCTAGAATGTCGCATACGTTTTTTTCTTAGACCATCCCAAAAAAAACCAAACATGGTAACACCCACTAAAATGATGGTGCCAAAACAGCTGGCTTTGCTGGCTACAAACGGAGGGTCAAAGGGTTGTTTGAAGCTCGGGACACCGGCCCTTTTTTGTCGGCACCACCTGAAAACAGTGACCTCAAATCAGTTTTTTTTTTTTCAGGTCACTGGAATGATAGGGGCAACTATTTGTGGCCTTGACTCAGGGTGAAATATGACTGCAGATGTTGCGGATGCTGCGTGGCAGGATCCGACTTACTACATTTGGTTGTTGGACATCAGCGGCCCTGCACAAGAAGCCCGAGATAACTGGGGCGTCCTTAAGGAGGCTACGGTGGCTACGGTGAAGTTTCATGGTACATTGCTATGGATATCTATAGGTATGGATTATGATGAATGGTCATGTGCACATTGGAATTTACCGACTTGAATTTTCCTGTTCTGGATGATTTTCTGGATTCATCGAGATGTCTTAGACATTTCTCGTTTTTTTGCTGTGTATCGAAGCATGCCGTCGACTGCTGAGTTTCTGAGTTCCATCCAGGCAGTGACCGAGGTGGCTGACTCCTTTGTGCCCGGGGGCCTGACATGGGGTGTGGATGGCCAAAGTTTTGAGAAATCCATGATTCCAATAGCTCAGCCTCCAGTTTGCCGTCCTGCTATTGCTGTGTCCCTGCGAGCCTCCAAGCATCTCCAAGCCCGGCACGGGACGAGGATTTCCGAAGATGAGAAGACCTTGGAAAAAGCTCGAACTGCAGAGGCGTGGCTCCGGTCCTGGGATGTCCTGACAGCTGACGAAGATTCTCCATGAACACAGTCTGTTTTTACCCTAGCTGACTGCGAAAAAAAACAGATACCAACAGAAAAACATAGCATCATATATCATCATATAATGTGTTGATGTGCACTTCCACGTTGTTCCTCGATTGTGACATATTGTGACTCTGGACTCTGGGAACGTGCGGCAGATCACCCCAGAGCAGCTGAAAGCCCTGGAGCAACTGAAGAAAGAAGGGGCATTGCCTGAGGAGAAGTTCTGAGGCGCGGTTCATCCATGTCCATGTCTGTATGTCCCGCGTGGGAAGTAAGAGAGGCAACCGAGGGTTTATTTTCGTAGGGTAAGTAGGGGAAATGTCCAGCGAGAACATTTTTTTCATTAAAATCTCAGGGGAATGAGCCACCAAGTACAGCTATCGTGGAGTTTGCATCAAAATATACTGATGGCTTCTAAAGGTAGCTTATCGTAATTATGGCCCATGGATTTCTAGTCTTCATTTTTTAGGTGCCAAAGTTGCGGGCCTGGTGGGTCTTTCTACACCATATAATATACATTCATACATTCATACATTCATACATTTTTACATTCATACATTTATATACATTCATATACTATACATGATGTGCCATATCCATTGTATATCTTGCTATATCTTGCTATATCTTGCTATGTTTGTTGATTCCATCCCCTAAGGTCAAACTTTGTCATCTCCCGTTCGACGGCACAATGGAATTTTAGACCCAAGTCGTTGACCTTATAGCTATGGAAAATGATGAACATGGCCCATTTATAGATGATTTACCCATTAAGAATTGTCATTGTCCATCGCAAACGGTCAGTTTACCAGAGGGTAAACCATAAATTTGTGCTGCACCCCCGGTTATAATTTGGTCTATAACCTCCTTAACTATAGATATATCTACAATAAACCATAGAAATAGCTAGTTATAAACCAACTTAGGTATCTAAATCCCATTAAATCCCATTAAATCCCATTCAATCACCATTCAATCACCATTCAATCACGCTTAAGACCACTGGGGCACCACCGAACGTCGAATTCACATGAATTCACCAGGTGGCGTCCAGTGGAGCGGAATGTACATAACTCGCGCAGCTTTCGGCTTGTTGTCCCGGGCAGTGAAGCGCAAGGGGCCAAATGGTGCAAGATAAGCCTGGAATAGGGGTTTGTCTGAAAATACCTCTAAAATCCTCTAAATCTATTGGTTATATTGGCTACTGTAGTCGTCATGTCCCCATGAAATGAGATGAAATGGCCATTTAAAAGGGTATACCCCATTTTTATCCAATTTTCAGACAGACCCACATGAATTGAAAATCGTGGTTTAAGCATCAAAAATGTGGGTTCACCTTGTGAGAAAGTGTGATTCAATGGGGTTTTATAGGATATGAATGGGACAGTGATGGTTAGTATAGTGGTTAGAAATTGATATTTGACCATGAAACAGGGTGGTTTAACCAACAAACATTGGGGTATATATCATGGTATATGTACCCTTCGGTGTCCTCAAACATGGCTGGCTGGCAAATCCCCGAACTATATGAATATCTATAAATTCTACATAGAGGTTTCTGAATGGGACAATGATCGAACTAAATGTGGGGGATTTTCCAGCAAGTCATGTTTGAGGACACGGAAGGGGAATATAGGTGAAAAAATACCACCTGGCTTGGAATCATGACCCACAGTTGATGGGGTATTTTTCATGGCTCAGTTGATGAATCTTTGGTTTTACTTGGCAAAATGTGGAGCTGCCTGGGCCAACGCTATTTATTTAAGAAATTGAACATATACAGATCTACTCAAGGAAGGACATGGAAGGCTTATGTGCCCAGAAAGCAGCCATTTAAGGAGAAGTCCTGACCTTGCCTTTGAAGAAAATGGTATGAAACACTTGCGATTGCAGCATGGGTTTTTGCGGAGAAAGGGTGCGACGCATCGCCGCGCTGACACGGTCTGACACGTTGCATGTGCCCGCTGGGTAGTTCAAAGACAAAATATGGCCATCTGTCTGTACTGAACTTAGCCTCTGGTGTCATCAGCTCCATGGCTTGCGGCTTGCTGGAAAAACCAGAGTTTAATGATTTGCCCAGCTAGAAACCTCCATTGATAGTGGGTTTGCCCATATGTTGCCACGAGTTTCCCATTAAAACCTCGATGTACGTGATGCCCAAATCCTTAAGTCTTCGAAACTCAAGACGACGGGTCGAAACAAGCGATGGGTCGTGATTGAAAACAGAGCAGTGGCAACAAAAACACGACCATTTGTTGCTTTGTTGCTTGCAGTTTGCTGTGGAAAATCACCATTTTCATGCATGGATGTAAATAAATGTAAGACATTGGCTATTTTTCATAGCTATGTCAAATTGCCGGAGGTTAGTCGTGGCTGTTTGTTCTAAATTGTACTGCCTGATGTGTTTTCGAGTGGAAAAATGTTGGTGCACAGGGCGTGTTTCCAGATTCCAGGTAGATGACTGGCATTGTTCAAACTCAATATGTTGCAAAAGAATTGAACCACAAAGCACCTGTCATCAGGGTTGCTTCAAACATTTTTAAACTATAATTCTCAGGGTAAACAATTGCGTGGAATTAGGCGGGGCAGCCCTCTTTCAGAACATGTTCTGCGCTTTCTGGAGAACATGAGCAGCCCCTCAGCATGGCACCGCCATGCGCCATGCATGGCGCACAGTGTGTTGCACTGCCGCAGCACTTCGTGGCTTCACCAGCTTCGCAGTAGAGGCGATCTGCAGGTAGATGGGGTTGCATTCCAGGCATCGTAAGTGGTTAATTAATGTTAATTATCCTGGTATATAATGAATCCAGTTATGTATGAATTATATATGGGCTATAGGTCATAAACCACAAAAACGATGCCCACGATGCACATCCTATGAATCAACATGTTGGGACCCCTCAGCGGCTCGTACTTCGCTTGTGGCGGTAAGATGCGCCAATCGCTTGCGGCAGTAAGATGTTCATTTTTTGACTGCCGCAAGTGATTGTTTTTTACTGCCACGAGTGATTGCTGTTTTTGCGTGGCAGGTGCAGCATTTGAAGGCCTAATCGCTTGTGGCGGTAAGATCGCGGTTTCGTTTTTTCAATCGCTTATGGCGGTAAAAATCTGTCACTTGTGGCGGTAAGTGGGTGTCCTTGATGCCAGGGTATATAAAACCAATCGCTTGTGGCAGTAAGATGCTTTGCAGCACTTGCGCACATACTTGTCTTCTATCCATGTGATTTCTACACATTCACTGGAACCATTGCAACGCTGACGTACAGGAGGTTTATGTTAACTTTTTTCTGTTGTACAAGATTTCCCTGTTTTTAGTGATGTCTTGATTGGAATTTAGATCATGTCTGTATTCTTTAAAGAGGATCTAAGAAAGAGGGTTGGAGTAACTTTTTAGGGGGCTATTTGACTCGGTTACCATAGGTAAAACATATGGCTTTTGATTGCATTTGGTGTGAATCCAACCCAGAGAGAATGAATGAAAGGAGAAAAGGAAGACCGACTTTTATCCAGGTGGAATTTCAGCTCTGCTGTGTTTTTCATGTCTTTTCGTTTTGCATTTGGGTATATATAATGCGACGGTTGCTATATTTGTTATAGATACCGTGGCAATAGCCTCACGTTAGGATTTACATAGAACGGCGCGACCGCGACTAGATTTGTAGCTGTCAAGCGCACGTGTATTTCCATGGAAGGGTTTAGGGCTTCGGGTGGAAACTTTACTTACATAGCTAGCACATCATCACTAACTTCCTCCTCCTCCTCATCATCTTCCTCCTCCTCCTCATCATCATCATCATCATCCCCACCCCACCCCAGCAGTAAGTGATGATGAAAGAGCAGTGCCTGTTGCCGTGCCTGGTGTGTGCGTACAGAACATGAACGTTTTGACCCCACCCCACCCCACCCCAGCAGTAACTGATGATGAAAGAGCAGTGCCTGTTGCCATGCCTGTGTGTGTACAGGAACATGAACGTTATTATCCCACCCCACCCCACCCCACCCTTTCGGGAATCTTACTGCCGCAAGTGATTGGCTTTGAATCGTCTTACAAGAGTCTTACTGCCGCAAGTGACGGAAAATCTTACTGCCGCAAGTGATCGAATCTTACTGCCGCAAGTGACGGTAGAGCCCCCCTAAGCCGGCCATGGGCAATGGAATAGATCTCCCATTGAAGACTTGAATACGGTTCTTTTTAAAACCATTTCTCCAGCTAGAAACCTTCATTTAGTAGTGTGTTTTCCAATATTTTCCCATGAATTTCCCTTTTAAAGTTCCAGTTAGTTCCAGCACTTCCCATTGCCAGGTTCTGAATTTTTCCAGAGGCAAAAAAGGTGGGTACGGGTGAAATCAGGAGATTGCCCTGTCTGACATGGTTTTTGGCGATGCAAGCGAACTGAACGATGAGCTTTGAACCAAGAATACCCAGAAGAACCAAGACACTCAAAGTATCTCAAAGTACCCATAAAAATGGACGTACCAAGGGTTATGGGATAAAATCGCAGGTTTGGTGGGCCAATTGAGTGATCAAACTTGATTTGATAGTTAAATCCCCAGTATAGTTAAATCCTATGTTATGGTTAAACCCCTATTTTTCATGGTTAAATTAATCATCCCATTGTTGTAATTGTTTTATCCCACGAACTTTGCAGGCGCATCCCTGCTGGATCCTGCTGGCAGGCTCTGGTTTTGGGTATTGGGATCTGGCCATGATCAAGTTTCCCGACTGAAATCCACCATTTTGGGAAGATGATTGGGTCCGCAACTTGGAATAGAGTATATATATATAATTGAATATAGATAGAATATATAATATATATATAGATATAATATGATATATGTGTATATATATATAGCATGCATACATACATTAATGTATATATATATAAGAATATACATACATATAATATTTAATATACGTACATACATATAACATCCATCTATCCATCCATCCATTGTATATTATTCACAAAGCAGCGAATGCATATATATATATATCGTATATGTATATTGGTATGCATATTGGCAAAGATTATCCATGGGATTGGGCCCCGAGAACATGGGGAAAATGAGCTTCGAAACCGGCTGGATTCTGCGGCACCGGGTTCTTTCCACAAACCTATCCATCTATGGTAGATATGTCCAATATGCTCAGCTTTAGACCGAAGATCACCTGGTCCAGCAAAATTGGGCTGTATGGGTTAGGATTCTTAATTTTCTTCATTTTGTTTTGGTCTTTGGTGGGGCCACCAAGAACGTCCTTCAGCACTTTTTTTGCCCCAAGCTTACCAATTTCGCACTTTTTTTGCCAGCTGGGGTGGAAGTCCTTGGGTTTCTCGAGGTTTCAGGCCCTTCACGGCGTGCTCGCCCACCGAGAGGCCTGGGTCGGGGAGGCATCCCATGGGAGGAATGTGGGAGTAATACCTGTGAGGAAGATGGTTAATGATGGTTCATAATAGTTAATGATGGTTAATAATGGTTGATGACGGTTAATGGTGAACAATGGTGCTTCCAAGATTGGAAGCGACACGTCAGAGGGACAGTCTGATCAGATCAAAGGATCAAAGATATTTGAAAAAACAGCAACAAAAAACCATCACTCTACTTCGTGTGATTTTTTCACCGTGGCATATATCCTGGCATATCCTGACATATTATGTTATGATATCATTGATTACATCTTAATTATATAACTGATATATATACATATATTATATTTTAACTATTATATATATTATAAATAAATATTTATATATAGTGACATGCTCGCTGACATATCTGACAATCTACCTGACATTTTTTGTAAAATTATATCTGACACTCTATCCGACATTCTATTTGACATATATTCTGACATGTTATTTGACACTTTGTCTGACCTGGCACTCTATCTGACATATATTCTGACATGCTATCTGACATTCTATCTTGCATTCTACCTGGAGTTCTCTGTGACATTCTGACATTCTATCAGGTTTTCTCTGGCATTCTATGTGTGACATTCTCTCTGGCATTCTACCTGGAGTTCTCTGTGACGTTCTGACATTCTATCTGGTTTTATCTGACATTCTATGTGTGACATTCTATCTGGCATTCTACCTGGAGTTCTCTGTGACATTCTGACATTCTATCT